CATCAAGCTGTGCATTTGTGTTGTAAATGCAGCCAGAAACTATGTTTAAAGAGGATAACCTTCCAAGACCTGATAGTTCAAATAACAGCTACGACAAACATAAAAAAGTGACACAAAGATATTGTCAATTATATCTTTTGTCTGTTATGTAACAATGAATAAAAGATTTTAACAAGTGGACAAGTGCAGCTATTCGTGTCATGTTTACAAAACTGGGAGATACTCAACTGGACTTCAGTGCGCTTCAGCCAAAGTACTTTCTAAGAGGGAAATCCTTTGAACTAGAATTCTGAGTTATGAGAAGCCGAGCCTTGTGCCACATTTAACTTAAAAGGCTTGGCATTGTGCCTTACAGGGATTAACAGGGACAATGAACTGCCTCTCAGGGTGTACTGCTTTCATGAAACAGTGACAGAAACAATCCTCAGGACATGTTTTATATTTGAAAAGAAACTTTGAATAATACTTTTCCTTTTTCCACTACTTTTGTAGCTTGTGTTACTAAGCCTGGCTTAATGACCATTTGCATGTTGATATTGAGGGTCATATTTATGAAACGCAGCACATATGTGATCTGCACCTGTACGTGGTAAACATTACACTTATTTATGTTTTTAAACAGGATGATTTATTTGCTATGATTGATGCTTTATTGCGATGTGGTAATATGTGCTACACAGGGTCATGTGATACAGGGGTTAATAGTAGCTTAGCCTTTTAGAGAGACGGGAGGTAAACATACTGTGTGAGGTGAAAGGGACAGGCACATGGCAGTGTTGAAGAAACACTAAACTAAGGTGTAGTTTCGTTGCGAATTTTGCCCCTTATCAACGCGGGCAGCAATTGCAGCAGCAGCAGTGATGTGACACACAGCTCATGGAGGCAATTAAGGTACTTTTTGGCATATGATTGCTGTAATTCTTCGTCTTCTTGGAGTCAAATCTGATCACAGAGACACGTTAGGCGTATGTTTAGATTGGGTGTGACCCAAACTTCTTGACAATACCATTATCTCTGATGGCTATTTTGAATAAAAGTCCATCATAATCATAAAAAAGATGCTCCTTTTAACTCCAGAACTTGCCAGAGAATCATCGCTTTTTTAACTTCACCTCAATATTAAAGTAATCCAATGAAAATTGTCTGTACATAAATGGGTACACTGCAAAACAGAAACAAGACGATGTAATATATAGGTTATCCACATATGATAAACAGATGTGCTCCATTTATGGTTGAATGAAAGTTCTGCATCTGTTTTGGTCAAAGAGGCTAAAGACATGGTGTTAAAGCAGTTTGAATTCAAGGGATAGGCTATTTGTTTCATTGAAATAAAGGGAATTATATTATTCAGTTGTGTGAGTCTGTAGATTTTTAACAGGCAGTATTAGATTATTCAAAGTCATGTTTATTGGGAATTCCATGAGCTTTTACATTGGTATCCACAGTAGATATATGAAAACCATGTAAAGGTTTTGATGTAAACAATGAAATGATCAGGAGACCAAAACACTGCTCTATAGTATTTAAGTTGTGACAGTATACTGTGTCAGTGTTTGGTGAGGTGGTTTCTGTTTTGTTTGGTGATTTTCAGTGTTTGTGTGTTCAGTTTATTGGTGTGATTTGTCTAGGTTCAGCAGGGTCAGACCAGAAATAAGGATGTAATGATACTGCATTAATGAAGTAACACAATTCAAAAACATGTTCAAAGGCTTCAATGCAATAAAAGTTATAATAATAGTAATAATAAACTGTATTTGAGAGGTTTGTAAAGTTCTCGCAGTAGCAGTCAGTCAACTTCTATGCGTGTGTCTGATGTCTTGGTCGCAGCCTGATGTCCGGTAAGCCCCTTAGTCTCTGCCCCACTGAATGGACGCTGACACCAAAAACACCCCGTGTTTGTGGACGCGTGGTGATGAACTCGGATAAGATCCATTCTCTAAGTGGGAAATGAGCTCAGCAATCAGCTTTAGCCTACAGTCTGTCTACAATAACAAAGATCATGGTGCAGTGAACATGATGAGAATGAATGTAACACAAGACTATTCTTTAAATAACAGACAAAGCCTATGCTACTCTTAATCTTCAAAGTGGAAATCCATTGTCACAACTTGTCATATGTTGTTGATGTTTTTAAAACTAAATGGGAAACCTGGATCATTCAGGAAAAAAACAAATACCTGATCTAAATAGTTTGGCAGTTTAATTAATTTCTATTTGGCTACCATGCCTGTATAATTTTAGTCTGTCTTGCAATGTGGTTAAATTAAAATTCTAGGACTATGGATAGCATTTACTGTTAACTTTCCAGAATAGTTTTTCATCTAACTGACTGACTGATATCAAATATTCAATTCCAAGACTCCATGTTTTCATAGCTGCACTATTCCATTTAAATGGAAATATAATATCCAAGATGTGCTTTGCATCATGCATGAAATATTGGCATATATCAGTTTGCATAGCACAAGTTTGTAATGAATGGCTCGCTGGCTTTTGATATCTACAGTATTAATGCTAGACTATGTAAATTTTGAAAGAAGAAATAACATTCTTCCTCTTAAAAATGAAAAGTTGAATTCAGAAGCACTGAAACACACCCTTGCTTGATTCATTGCACCCAGAGGTTTTGCTGCTACAGCCTTACTTGGTCTGATATGACCATCCAATGTTACTGTAGCTAGTGGCAAACTGTAGATATTGCTGTGTAATCGACTTTTCTGAGTCTGTTTCCTTAACTCTATGACTCTTCCAAAGGCGTAAGTTTGGTTTCAGAAGTGGGATGGACACAATGAAGTCAGATGTTCTTGCAACAACGACAAAAACAAGTACTACAATATAATACAATAAAAAGTATTACATTGCATTATTTTCTTTATTTATAAAATCTAGTTAATAATAAATTATGATTGCATTGGTTATGATGGTTTATGTAGTAATGTTAGTATACAAAAAACTTAATTATAATGAACCAATCCAATAACAACCTTTTTCCTTGACAGAGACCTGATACTTTTTGATTTTATATGAAAAAAAATCAAACTGCCAGTTTTCCAGTGTCAATGTTGAACATTTAAACTCAATAAATAATGTTCGATTTCTTTCTTGCTACAAAGAGCACTGTATTTTACTGCATTGTGTTTCACTGATGATTGGTTCCAACCTCTTTTTAGAATTATTTTTTAATTAAAACTAAATTATTTTTACATCAGCAAATTGGGGGGACTTTTTAATCCCTGAGTAATGTCTAGTCTTCCTTACAAGCTGCGTAAGGCCCCAACAACCTCCACTCAGAAGTTAGGCCAGCATGTGTTTTGCCTAAGAGGCAGAATCTGGGGCAAAACAAACTTGACACAGCATTTTGATCAACACAGGGCCTCTCCAGTCCAGGCATTAAGAGGACACAGTTTAGTCGTTTTCAGTCAAACTGATATACTATTGTATTACTATCAACTGTACCAATGTTTGTGTGTGAAAGTGGGTTTTATGAATGAGCCCAGCTGCAAAACTAAGAGCATATTACACCTGATATTAAACCCTCAGGCTGTTACTAACTCTATAATGCCTTTTTTGTGTGTATAAGCTTCCTAGAGAATAATGAAGGGTTAATAGGCACACGAACGAAGGGTAATTGGAGAGAGCTTATCGTGTGTACTGTGTGGGCATCTGTCGACTACATGGGTGTGGCAGACTGTAGCACTGCACTGCAATCATGAAATTGGAGACACACTGACTGACTGCCTGCCTGCCTGCCTGCCTGCCTGTTTGTCTTCCCTCCACACACTCATGTCATTCTGCATCAACATCCCACCACCACTGATGTACGCTCTGTTTCTCTTTCTACACAAACCCCCTGCATTCACCCACTCCTACACTCAGCCACACCCTGAAATCCTCACACACGAGTTGACACAAACATACACATGCACACATAGCATTTTTAGTTCCCTCATGCAAAGTCCTCAGCACGGCTTGATATTGGTACGTGTCTTCAGTTGTGACGGGCTAACTGCAGATTGCTAAGTCTCTGTTGCTAATGCTCCCCTGAGAAAAAACAGTTAGTCATGGAGGCTGGTGCATGCAGTAGATTTTAGCATTAACTGTGTTTATTTGACCCAGTTACACTGCCTTTTGAGAAAAATGCTATACAGTGTTCAGAAACAGTCATTTTGGGTGCTGACAGCCCCCAGTTTCAGTTGTCATTTTCTTCATGAGTCGTTAATTCAGTGGGGGGCATGTACCCCTCACTTCTCAGAATCCCCCCCTCCCTGTGTCCTGTGTCTTGCCTCTCAGGCTACATACAGCCTGGGCTGCCCAACCTTAAATGGTGGAGATATTTTCAGTTATAGTTATTATTCTCCTAAAAAGATGCTCGAATAGAACACCAATCAGAAATAAGGAGGCTTGGATTTGGCAGGCTGGTTAGTCTTGGCCTGGCGTTGGGCTGTTTAAACAAGCTGGCATGATGTTTTTGGACTTTTATTATTTATTACTTTCACCCTCAAACCTTCAAATGTTTACTTGTTTTGGCTCTTATTCAGCTTCTTTGCTCTCCTAAAGGGCTTGCCATACACAATTTACCCTATTTTTTTCATCTAATAACATACAAGCCTTGAAGGATTTATTCAACTTATCTCTTACTGCAGGGATTCATGTGGATGCTATGACACATAAATAATAGCTCCTGGCTAATGCTGCAATATTTTTATGTATTTCCAAAATAATAAATAGCCTAGAATAATCTGTGTTATAAAAGAAATGTTATTGCTGTTTTTAAATAATTCATAATTAATTTTTTCTGTGCTCATAGATACTGCAAAAGGTTTACTATTTTGTTCTGTATTTTTTAATTACATTTGTAATTGTTTATTAGATAGATTTATTAATTTTACAGGCCAGCAGTTTTCCCTGGTTCTCGTGTACCTGCAGTAATCTCTCTCGTCAGTGAAGTTAAGATGACAAACCAACCTGTTCCTCTCTCTCTCTCTCTCTTCCTGCAGACTGATGTAAATGCCTGCTATCTGCGATCAGCTCGGGCGGGGAACCTAGAAAAAGCTTTGGACTACCTGAAGAATGGAGTCGACATCAATATTTGCAATCAGGTGAGCTAACACCTGTGCTAACACACAATCAGTGTACTTCCACTTAGTAGTAATCTGTGTTGGGTTGGCGTTAAGTTAGAGATCTTTATATATATATATATATATTAGTAAACATTATGTTGTGTAACATCAGAATGTTAGCATGCTGATGTTAGCGTCTAGCTCAAAGCACCACCAGCTTCACACAGCTGCTAGCATGGCTGTAGTCTTGTTCTTGTGGAGTCTGTCTATAAGATCATTTAAGGTTTTCCTTAATAAAATTTTAGTTATTGGACAGCAGACAGAGTATCACTGTATATGGGCAGCCCCGGTGGATACCAAGGTCATCTGCTGTAGAAAATGTTTTGAAGTAATACTTTAAAGGAAAATGCTGGCAATATTCTACATTTTCTTCTTGTCAAGAAATCCTGTAAAAAAAACAAAACAAAACCAACAATTAATTAATCAGACTAACAAGCAGTTTGTGTATCCAAAGCCAAATATATCTTAGGCTACTTCTTATTCCATATAGCTCCATTGTTTTCCAAAAAACTATTAAAACACACCAGTGAGTCATACTGTTGCATTCCTTCAAAACCACACACTTCAACACACACTGCAGTTTAGTTTGACTCAACCCCACATACACTAAATGTGTATTAAGCCACTGCTAAAAATAATCCTGAACAAATATATGAACAAATGCTCCTCTATTCCTCTGCATTTGCTGGTTTAAAAAAGTAATTTAGTTGTTTTTATTTAAATACTTACTTTAAACAAGATTAAACTCATGGAACCTTTTGAAGATTGTACTTTTCAGTATTCACCAATGGGCTTGGGGCTGAGAGGCACAGACAGGTCAAAGAAGTCAGACAGTATTAAGAGGCGGACTAACACATTGTTAGTTTTGGTCTTTTCATTGGAGTGTCAACAATAACAAAAATATAGAATGATGCTAGGCTAATACTATAAGGGTTCATGAAGGGCTGAATATATGCCCTTAATTTGAAATCTCTCTCTTTACTTTCTCTTCAGAATGGCCTGAATGCTCTCCATCTGGCCTCGAAGGAGGGCCATGTGGAAGTGGTGGCTGAGCTCATCAAGCATGGTGCCAATGTGGATGCAGCTACTAAGGTGTGTGCCATGCAGGAGTCTCACACACAGAGACAAACACACACACAGGCCTACTGTAGTTTGCTTTGTCAGCTCCTTCCCAAAGTCACATTGCTTAAGCAGCACTAAAGGAGATGAATGGCTGTGTGTTAGCAGAGACGTTGAGTGAACTGATTTAGTAAAAGGAAATAGTCGGTCTTGTCATGTGCATGACAGTGTTTCTCACTTAATGTTTTGTGGCTGGGTGGTGTATTTAAATTATGTGACAGTAAAACTCTTTACTGGAACCAGTAGTGATAGGGTAATTCCACACAGTAATCGATCAAGTGAAAAAGCAATTGCATCGCTTGCTAGTTTCTCTTCTGGAGTAGGTTGCAGCAGCTCTTCGTAGGGTCAAATTTAGCCTAGTTAGAACGGGGGAGATTTGCCCATCACTAAATTAAAATGGGTTGCACCACACAAACTAATTCTTATGTAGACATCAATTTCTACTGTTTATACCCGATAACTACCAGCTGTAACTGTGAAGCTAACTGAACTAACAGAATTAGCTAAGCAAGAAGGCTAATGTCAGCTAGACACTTTAATGATGTAGATAAAGAAGATTTAAAATTACATTTCACAAAATTAACACAATATACCCTTAAACCTTAACTGACAAAACTGTATGCTAATAACGGTAGGCTAAATGACGGTGAACACAGCAGGGTATTTAGCAACTAAAGAGCCAGATATATCCCTCAGGAGGAAAATAGAGCTAAAAGCAGAGTGAAAATTGGACTAACACCAGGTGGACACAACTCCAAATAAATGCTAATGTCGCTTCATGTCTGCTGGATGTGTAAATAGGCAACTGTTTGCTACCAATCTCACCATATCAACTTTATAAGATGATATGTCAGTGTTGTGTTAAGTTTGTTGATGCAGGTTTGATTTCATATGAACACACTGACTGTAAGGGAAGCAGAAGTTGAAGCCCCAGTTTGTGCATCTCTGCTGCATATTAACTCCATCCATGAGAGGAAACTGCTGGCAAATTCTGATTTTATTCTGTTTGGTCGAAAGAGTAAGTTATGTTCTGGCGACTAAAAATGTATAGGCTATCATTACATATGTGTACACGGAGATACAGCACTTCAGATTCGGGAATGAGGGGGGTGTAAATGTGGAGGTTCCAGTGGCAGCAGGAATGACAACATGGCAACAGCTGCTACTTAGCTGTTATAGCTGACATATACACAACAGGTGCATCCATTAGAGGTTCAGTATTAAGCAACTCGCTCTCATACCTCACTTTTTCAACATGCAACAAGATTGTACTTATTTTCTCATTATCAATTTTTCTCTTTCTATACTTGTTGACTCTCACTCCCTGTCTATCTCTCTTTCATAATAATGTCTCAATTGGATAAAGATTAACAAAATAATACCCTGACTTGAATATTTGGTGCATCCCTATATTAAGCCACCAAAATTAATCTGCCGAAATAGCAAAAAAAGCACTTTTGGTGTTCGACCTAATAAGTCAAAAGGCCGAAGAAATTTTACAAAACAATTATGATGACATGTCGGCAGTGTGGATGCATTTTAAGTGTCTGAGAAAGACGCAAATATCGCCTTTTGCAGACACAGTTCTGCTGAATTGTCTCCTAGCACATCCACTCCATCTGTGGCTGACTTCTTAGAAAAGGCAACAAACGGTCTGACCCCGAGTGTTTCTGTCACTCGTTTCTGAGAAGGCGATTAAGCTAGCCGCACCTAAATTTGGAGTGCACACATATTCAAGCCTTTTTGGTAAGTCCACTGAAACGGACCAGAGCGAGCTGACAGGCAGGAGACTTTATCCTGTCATTTTCTCTCTTTACAAAGACAAGTGTTGCAGTATGAGAGTACTACCTAAAGAGAGGCTATCTTCATGTTACTCAATATCACATACAACATTATTTATCAAATTGGGTCGGACTTGTGACAACGTCCGGTTTTCAAAATAAGGTGTCTATACAGGATGGAAATAAGATTAAGTGGATTATATTCACAGAAATGATAAAACATATGTGTGTGTGTAACATAGTCTCTCCAGCTCCTGTGGGAAACCCAGAGTGAAAAGCACATTTTGACTATTTAATTTATGCAAGGGTAAAAAATATGTGTGTGTGTGTGTGTGTATGTGTGTATATATATATATGTATGTATATATATATATATGTATGTGTATGTGTATGTGTATATATGTATGTATATATATATATATATATATATAATAAAAATGAGAATGTACTTCGGTATTCTGCTAATTTTTTCATTACATTCAGATTCAGCTTCGGCCAAGAATTTTCACCTCGGTGCATCCCTACTTTTATATGTCCAAAGTTTTTAATTACACAAATACAATATGTTTATATGAATAGATAGAGGAGGGCATCAATGTTCCACGAACGTAAGAACCATCTTGGTGCATGATTCTGAGCTTTAGTGATGTCAAAAATAAATTGATGGTGAAACATCAAGAAAGGTAGTATTAATGAATTTTAATTCCATATATTCTTCGTCTTACTTTGACTTTGGTGGATAATCATTCTTTAAGTTTTATTTAATTTAAAATGTTTTTAATTTCTTTCAAAACAGAAAGGAAACACAGCCCTCCACATAGCTTCCCTTGCTGGCCAGACAGAAGTGGTGAAGGAACTCGTCACCCACAATGCCAACGTCAATGCACAGTCTCAGGTAAAACACAAATACAAAGCTCTCCAATTGTGAAATCATCTTTGTTGGAAATCCATGTTTGAGTGTGTGCGTTCATGCAAATGACAACTATTGTACACACAGCGTCCGCGTGTGTGTGTGTGTGTGTGTGTTTCTGTTTGTATGCTGTGTCAGCAGCTCTGCAGTGCTTCCTGGCCCACATTCAATTGTCAGCGCGCACACACACACACACACACACATAGTTATAGGATAGTTTAGTGGAACATAGTACCATATTCCTTTATCTATCTTTTTATTGTTTGTTTTTTGTAAAGCATTTTGTAACATTGTTTTTAAGAAGTGCTATAGGCCTACAAGTAAACTTTATTATTATTAGTAGTAGTAGTGGTAGTATTAATAGTAGTAGCACAGTCTATGAGTAGTAGTAGTAGCGGCAGCGGCAGTACTTAAACCCTGGTAATTCCACAAATTGTAGTTTTGTTTTAAACAAATATATTGACACAATAAATCATGAAATATTAATCCGTAAACTGGAACGAATCAGAATCAGGGGGGTAGTTCTAAACTGGGTAACTAGTTATCTGAGAGACGGACAACAATTTGTGAAGATGGGAGATTATTCGTCTTAATGTCTCGGCATGGCTTGTGGTGTCCCCCAGGGGTCAGTGTTGGGACCAAAGTTATTTTCATTATATATCAATGATATTTGTAAAGTATCTGAAGTATTGAATTTTGTATGATTTGCAGATGATACAAACATATTTGGTTCAGGGGATAGCTTACAGAAACTCTTGGAATTAATCACTTCAGAATTCAAGAAAATGGTTATAAATAAATAGAACTACATTCATGGTATTCGGAAACTGTAAGTCAAATCATCAAGCACAGATACTGATAGAGGGTGTTAACATAGAAAGAGTACATGAAAATAAATTCCTTGGAGTGATCATAGATGACAAGATTTGCTGGAAGCCTCACATAAAACACATCAAAACCAAACTGTCCAGAAGGATTGCAGTCCTAGCAAGAGCGAAGCACATGGATCTCTGGATCTTAAATCACTTCACATCATGTACTACTCACTATTATTACCTTATTTGAATTACTGTGTAGAGGTTTGGGGAAGCACTTATCAACATTAACTACCTAGCCTATTGCCTGGGAATATACAAAAGATGTTCTCTGAGTGGGAGAGAGGGAACAATTTAAGGGGAAGGGGGAATTATAAGACTAATAGGTTTAGAACAACAAGGAAAAGATTATGTTTATCAATTTGCGGAGTTACATTGTGGAATAAATCCAACGAAGGTTAAAATCAAGGGCAACCCTTGTTGATAACTATGTCCTGGATGACTGAGAATCTTCATAGACATTGTGGAATAAACTAAATGAGAACCTAAAGCAATGCCCAAACATATTCCTTTTCAAAAAAATATACAAAGAAATAGTTTTCAAGAGGTATCGAGAAGCACTGTAGTAAAGGTAGGAGTGCTCCTTTGTTTATGTTGTTTGTTTGTTTGTGTTTTTTGTTGTATTTTTTGCTGTTTGAATAAGTACATAATCGTGGTTAGATAAATAAATACTTGTCAGTGGTCACTTTAATATTGTGTACATTTATTTATATATATATATAAATGTACATAAAACATAATAAGATAATATAATATATAATATAATAAGATAATATAAAAATTGTTAATTGAAGGAATGTAAGAATTAGATAGGGGTAGAAGTACATAAGTTTTACTTCTTCCTACTCCTTTTTGCACATGTGATAGAAGTATGTTAACACAGGAAAGAAGGGTACTTTGTTTGCTGCTCATCTGTTGTTGGTTTTTCTCCTATTTTTAAAAAATTGTTTTATTTTTTTATACTTTCTCTTGTATGTTCAAAATAAAGATTTCAATTCAATCAATTAGTAAAAGACTAGCTGTTTACTCATGCCATCAGTCTTAATGCTAAGCTAAGGTAAGTCAATTTTTTGGTAACTCTCTTTATTTTCCAGAATGATAAATTATTCCTTTAACATTGCAAATAACAACCTTAGTAATCCTGCAATGCAGTTGTACATTTTATTAAGCTATGTGAAAAGTGTTTTGTGAAAAGTACTGCTCAAAAAAGATTTTTCATAAGGTATGTAGTCACTTATCTGTAGTTTTATTATTTTGATTCTTAGTTTTACTTCCACTGTGTCCTTGGTCATAGCTGCAGTTTGACTGTGAAATTTAAATGGAATGTTTTATAAGGTAGTGAACTACAAGAGGAAATCTTTTGGTGCATAAACATCAGAATAAATACAAAGACAAGAGGAGGAGGAGGATAAGCTTTTCTGCATGCTGAAGTGATTTTTGGATCCTTGTGTTGCTATGGAGATGGAGTTTTCTTGACCTCTTTATAGTGCTGCATCACATACACTCTCTTCAACTCGAGCTCCAGATCAGCTTTTATCTTTGCTGTTATCAGGTGTGAGGTATGTACAGAGGTGACACTATGTACTCCATGATAGGTCTGCTGGAATAGTACATTTGTGTGCAGTTGTAGAGGTCGGGAACAAACTGATTTGAAGATACAGGTCAAATCTTCAGTCATGGTGCTTTATATAATAGCAATATATCATGATTAAGCACATTTGCTTGAAATATAATCATGGATCCATTTATAGATTAAAAAACAGATGGGAATGTCTGGTTTTGGCTGACCCAGTTAATTAAATACTTGAGAAATCATGGTGCTTTATCACATTAATGCAAATATCCTGTAAATCCAATACTGCCATAAAGCAGTCCTGCTCATCGATTTTTAGCACTGCCTGCAATGATCTAATGCAAGGGATAGATCATTGTCATTGTCCTACTTTCAGATCAGCCTGACTTACGTGTTTAACGTTGTTCTTTTGAACAATATTTTTTCTTTTTCTATTCTTTTTGAAGTTTAATCCAATCCATGTTATTTATTAAGCACATTTTACACATGTAAAAACACATAGAGCACATTAAAACATAGACAACAACTTAAGACCACACAGCTCTAATGCTGGGTTAAAAGCCAGGGGATAAAACTGAGATGGGATTAAAAGTTTCGAGGGTGGGGACCATTTTAACCCATGGAGGTAGCTCAATGCATAGTTTGAGGGCTACTGCTGAAAAAGCGTGGTCGCCCTGTTTTTTAGCCTGGTTTCAGGGGCAACTAGCTGGAGCTGATCAGCAGACCATAGTGACCTCGAGGGGGTGTAAACTTGTAGGAGGTCAAACAGTAAGATCTCAAAATGTTTTCTATAATGAACGTGGAGCCAGTGGAGTGAGGCTAGAACAGGTGTAATGTGTTCACGCTTGCGAGTTCCAGTAAAAAGACGAGCAGCTGCGTTTTGGAGTTTTCTGTCTTTAAGTTCTTTTTGTTTTAAACAGGACCGGACATCATAATCATGATTTCAGGTCTGATTCAGTGCTTTTCTTTTCCAGAATGGCTTCACTCCGCTGTATATGGCGGCGCAGGAGAACCACATGGATGTGGTGCAGTTCTTATTGGACAACGGCTCCAGTCAGAGCATCGCCACTGAGGTAACTAAACAAGCACAAACACATCATGTGCAGCGCATATACACTTGACGTCTGTTTGCGCACACACTCATGAGCCCATAACAGCTTCTAATTGCTACTCTTCATCCAAGCTCTCTTTTAGCCCCCCCCCGTAATTACACTGCAGAATTGTGACCTACAGACTGTCGCAAATGGTAAATAGGTGCCTGCCACCATCAAGCTGGATAACATGTGAAGTCATTGTTTACTATGATGTAAGGGGTAAAAATAATCAAAGGTAATTGTTTTTATAGATGTATCTGTTGACTAAATGGTAAAGTAAGAGAAGATACAGAGTGATTAGAGTGAGGTAGGGAGTTAGCAGGAGAACAGGCGATGGCAGCATGACGGTGTATTCATTCAGAGTGACCTTGGATGCCTGCAGAGGGAGGAAACAGTGACGTTACAGAAGTCTGACATCTGTGGTGTGAGCGAGTGTGAGCGAGTGCTACGCTGCGAGTGTGTCAGTACGATCCATCATCTGCAGTTGTAGGCCGGCAGACGGCCAACTGCCACCTCTGTAAGACTAAAGTGTGAAAAACACATCCTCATTTTGGCCAAACCTCTCCCTCTGAAGCACATCGATGAGGCCAGTCAATGTCGTGTTAGGTTTTGTCTGCACTGTCAAATAGGTGGTGAATATGTAATCCACAGTGCACAAAGATTACTCACTACTATAGTAAAATTAAGATTTTCACATTGTTCTTGGTAAGAGATCATGAAAGAAAAAGTCACAGGGATGATTGTTTCAGCAGCCATCATGTCCAACAGCCTAGGGTGCCATTACAATACCTTTTCTATATACTATTTATAATATTTATAATATCTTACTTTAAGAAATTTGAACATTTTTCTACAAACTCCTTTTTTTCATTTAATGAAAGAGGCCAAACATCTCAAGTGTTTAATATTTAAACACAAGCAACTGCCAAAATAAGATGCTTGCCAAATTGTAATTGTGGGAACTATCTGATTAGAGAATGCGTTAAGAAGCTTTTAAACAAAGCTTCTGTACATGACAGTTTTCAATATTTTTGTATTTCTGGTTTTGATTCGCAGCCCTACCAACAATTATTTTCGAAGCCACCGCCTGTTAACACTTACATTACCTTTACTCATTTGGCAGATGCTTAAATCCACAGCAACTTCCATTTGTTAAAGGTCGCATGGTAAAAGAAAGTGAAAAATGTGAGGTACAGTTCTTATTTATCGACTTATCAGAAATCTAATAAAGGTTTATTATTATTTTATATATGGCTAGTGTGTGATTGCCTATGAAAACTGATGAAAAGACCAAAACTTCCAATCTGTTTTTCTGTCTGTCAGTAACTTCCTGCCTGGTGAAACTTTTTCATTCGTACTAAATACGCTAAAAACTGGACACAAATATATATGGGGTGGTCATGGCGCAATGGATAAGACACATGCCTTTGGTGTGAGAGACCTGGGTTCAATCCCCCACTGTGACACATCCACAATGTGTCCCTGAGCAAGACACTTAACCTCTACTTGCTCCAGAGGCGTGCAACCTCTGACATGTATAGCAAAGTCTAAAAGCTAAACAAATAAATGTAAATATACTTTAATTCTTACAAATGGCTCAGTAATGTTCGAAAACAGCTGGGCTCTGTAGTTTTTAGCAAACATTTCTGAAACAGGAGTAAATAGTGCGTTTGTTGGGAACTATTTTCCGTGGCGGATTAATACACATTTGGTGCTCTAGTGTGTATTTATGGCAGCAGGACGTGTGGTTAAGTGTGTGGATGATGTGAAGCAGTGTAACAGTTTGACTCGATGTGTTTTTAATAGTTTTTGTACAAAAGTGGAGCTCTATGGCTCAGGAATAACATTCTTGTTAGTAGGCAGTGATGACGCCGCTGTTTTCTGAATATAAATTGAAGTTGCATCCACCTCATTTTGTTTATCAGCGTGGCGCACTTGTTTACAGAGCTCTGTACTTGACAGTACACAAACAACTCCATGGCCGCTCTTCTGCCTCCTCATTACACCTCATCTTTCCTTTCATTATTTTTTTTTTTCCTTCGCCATCTTTCCTCCCTTTGTCTGCCTCCTTCTCCTCTTCACCCCGTTTTCCCACCACATCTCGCTGTTGCCCTTCTTTTTCCTCCTCCCCACAGTCTCCTCCAGTCGGAGACAGAGTGAATTATTCATGTGGGGAAATACATATCCAAGTCTGAAGCAAGTCCCGGTTTTTAACCATTTCATAGCGTGAGGCAGAGTAGATCAGAAAATTTGTTGTTTTTAAAAAATCTACATTTGATCTTTTTATATTGCATGTATTTTATTTTAAAGCATTAAATTACAAATGTTTGACATATCAATGTACAAATTACTGCAGTAATATCCACATTTAACCTCAGTATTTCTTTATGATTTGAATGTATGATCCATAATGAATTTTAAGTTATGGCATATTAATCGCCCTGTTACAATTAAATAACTTGTAATAGGTACATAGTGTCATGCTTTCTATAGTTTAGATTTGTGTGATTTAATGTTGTAATGCTTTTAGCTAATTTTGTTTCAGTAAGGCAAACTGATGCTGTGTCATTGCAAGTTTTAAAACTTGAAGAAAAAAAGATCAAAACCCCTCTTTTAGTGTCTTTTTGTTTGCTGCTGCTGCTGATGGCGTCTCTGGAGGTATTTTTAGGACATTAAACAGACGTTGTGTCTTTTCCTGAATCCATTATAAAGCAGATGAAACAGCAGGGTAGTGCTTTGGGATGACTTCTGACTTTAGAAATTCTTAAAAAGGCTAAATTTATGCATTTGAAACGCGTTTGTGTGCCCGTGGTAGTGGGCGTGTGTGTGTGTGTGTCTTGCAGAGATGTTTGTGGATCTGATTATGAACATGTGTTTGTATTTATGTGTGTGTATGTGTTTGTGTGGGTGTGTGAGCTATGCAGGATCTCTGAGGGGAAGTTCTGCTTTGATGTGTGGGTGTAGTGATGCTGAGTTGGTTTTATCCAGACAGCCGGCGTCCTGTGTAAACACACACGCCTTTTCAGACACACACACACACACAGATGATCTGTCTGTTATGTTGCATATTTATATTTATACTGCATTTTACTTGAGAGAAATCTTTCCTTTTCTTTGATGACAGATACTGCTGTTAGTAGTTGCTGTTGTGTGTCTCATTTATTTATATTACCTGTGTGAATGGTGTGTGTGTATGCGTGCAGTATGTAGTTAGTTTCATATTGTGTGCTTCTTGATTTATGCCCCTTAGCAGCTAAATTTCCTTTTGAGTTGTCCCTGAGCAAGGTAACTGCTACTCATGCACTTCTGTTGAGCATTCATTAAAATGCCAAAATCGCCAAATGGCTATAAGATTGCTCTCCACACCTTGAGCCCCTTTCACACATGCACCCCTTTACGTTAATCTTTAACATGTCAGACTCATGTCTGAATAAGCACGCCTGTCACTTTTAGGTAACAGTCCATGCATCTTAGTAACTTACTTATCACATTATCCCCCTGTATTGATGAATAACACTGAAGAGGAGTGTCTTTCTGGGAGTGAGCCTGGCTGAGTTATAAACACATTGCAGGACTGCAGATGAGACAGGAATACTAACATTACTCTGGAGGCACCGCTGCTGACCCTGCGTGTCTCTCATCAGATTAATAGGCAGCTATATAATTTAACTTTACACAGGGAGGCCTCGGCTGCAGTAACGACAGCAGTCGGCCACTTCAAAGGATTTAGCTTTGATGTAACTCTGGTTGATGCTTTAAAGCACAAGCAGCCAAAAAGATTCTCTGCTATTCTATTCTATAATATTCTGCTCTACTGCACTCTTTTCTATTCTTCTCCACTCGACCCCTACTATACCCTACTATTCTATTCTGTTTTATTTTACTTACTCTACTGTGCATCTAATTCTATTTTACTTTTTTACTATTTATTTCAATTTTATTCTACTTTGCTATACTCGTCGATTCTATGCTAGCTGCTTAATTGTAGCCTGCTAGATTTTTAAATGGATAGTTGTTTATTTGCAAAACAATAGCTGGTAAATGTCTTCTTAAATTACAATTTGTTTGGCTTATAACACATAAAAAATTGTTATGTTAAATGTTTTTCTCTAAAGTTATTTTGAAAATGGAAGTTTCTTGTTCATTGGTTTAGCTGTTGGTAGCTGCTAGCAGCTAACTTAAGTATCTGTCTCAGTAACGTTACCACCTCCTGGTCTTAACTCTTTCTGCTGGTTCACAGGATGGTTTCACTCCCCTGGCGGTGGCATTGCAGCAGGGCCATGACCAGGTGGTTTCCCTCTTGCTGGAAAACGACACCAAAGGGAAGGTCCGCCTGCCAGCGCTGCACATCGCCGCACGAAAAGATGACACCAAGGCTGCTGCGCTCCTCCTCCAGACTGACCACAACGCTGACGTGGAGTCCAAGGTACACTCTCTTTTTGATAGGCAGGATTACAACTCCATTATGACCTACTGTTAAATAAATCAAAACACTTCCTCTTTTTCTTCTGTTTCACATACTATCTAGCTTATTTCTAGTCCTGTGATACCTTGTGTGAATTATGGGCGTGATGTATGGTTAGTTCTTTTACTGAACAGGCATCTGTGAGTTAGCAGTGTACTACGGGTGTATTGCCCTGTTTTTGGGGGGAAAGATGATGTTGGAACAAATTACATATAGCATGTCAATTAATGAGCTTTAGAGTTGCTGGTATGTGGATTTTGTTACTTTGGACAGGGCCATGTTAGCGGTTTCCCTATTTCCAGACTTTGTGCTAAGCTAAGTTAGCCAGCTTCATAATTAGTGTACAGACATGTGGGTGGTGTTGATCGTCTCATCTAACTCAGCAAAAAAGTGCAGGCTTATATTTGCTTCAGGTTTTACCTCAGATAATACATATTTTTGCAATTAGTATTTTCCTAAAAATATGCTAGAAATGAGCATCAATCAAATTGTAGAAATGGCAGTAAAAGCTCTTTTTAGTAAAAAATGCATTTTTTTGTTTTCTCTCTCTCACACACACACACACACACACACACACACACACACACACACACACACACACACACACACACACACTTCTTAAACCTACTCCTAATGCCATGTCAGTTTTTTGTGTGACAGTGACATCAGTGGTGTAAATGTGGATGAATGAAGTTTGAGTGTTGATGAGTGGTAAAAAAACATAATTTTACCAAAACAGAAGATGTGCCACTGGCAGAAGAGGGACCAGATCAGAGAGCGCAAGAGCAAAAGGGCCAGGGTATTTATCCTCCCAGAACGTCTGGCCCAGGTGCTCCCAATCTGGCCTACGGGCGCTGATACCTTCAGGGACGAAAGGGAAAACAGTAAACTGGCCTTCACCACCAGTTCAACATCCCACTAGGCAGGGCCATCACAGTTAAAAACAATAATGCAGATATATTTACCACATAGTCAGTGTCAGTGTAGATAAAGGAAATAACACTGTAAAGGAGAATCTCAGTCCATCATCTAGTTGTGTTTACCTCTGTGTTTTAGTTCTTTTCATTATCTCCGGCCACATTCTCATATACCCATTCAACAGCTTCGTGCTACCATGTTGTTGCTGTTGTAGTAGTTGTTGTGGTGCACTAACCACCCCATTCTCTCCTACTCCCCCCTCCCTGTATATGTTCCTTTTTCTTACCCTACCACTTCCCCATTTACCTTTTCCCTTCTAGATGATGGTGAATAGAACAACAGAGGTACATCTTGTCTTGTCTTCTCCTCTCCTCTCCTCTCCTCTCCTCTCTCCTGTCATTGTTCACTCATGGTCACCATTGCAAAGCCAAAGCCTTCTGTTTACCAGCATGAACGCTAAATGCTGGCATGAATGCTTTTGCTGCTGACAGCGCCTCCCTTGTGTGCTTGTTTTTAAGCCTGCATTGCATTTCGACCTTTTGCTCTGTGTGCATCCAGTGGCTTGCTGCTTTGGGCAAAGATGAAATAAATAACATTAAAGCACTTTTAATTATACCTAGAGCTTTTGAAAACATTTTTGTCATCATAGGCAAACTTAGGTCCTTTTCAGTAGATTTTGTAATGTACCGTAAAATTGCATATATTATCTGGGGGCCAACAAATTAAGACCTGTCTCTAATACAGGCCAGGTAAAAAAAAAAAAAAAAAGATTTATGGAGTCAACAACAACGGCTCTCACATGGTAAATTCAGCATAATGTACATTTCCACAGCACTAATTCCACCAGTGCAACAAACGACTAGAGTAATGTAATTCTAGCCACTTTGCTGTTCTGGTTTCATCCACCTATTAATTCCATTCTTCCCATTTTCCCAAATGATATTAAGCTGCCGTCAGTGAAACTCAAAACTTCCCAGAGATTCTTTACTTGAAAAGCTTACCAATAATGGGAACAGAATCTACCAGAAATGTTGAGTTGCATTGACGGCAGCTTAACATCGATCAATAGAAATGTAAATGTGAAAGGAATTAAATTAATTGGTAAATGAAAAGAGTGGTTATAGAAACTGAAAGCAGCACAGTGGTAAGGATGACTTGATGGTACTGATGGGATGAGTAATGTGGAAATGTACATATAATACTGAATTTATCAAGAAAACAGGTGAACACTGAGGACGTTTTGAGTTTGCATTAACTGGGAAGCAGGCAAAATAAAAAGCATGTGACTAATATAAACCTGTTTTCTCTGCCGTTGAAGTAAATATAGGTAACTATTTACAATATAATAGTTAATCCAGTGGAATAGCTGCTCCTGCAAAAAAAAAAAAAACTCATTTGTATTCAAATAGATTAAGCACTGAATCAGAGAACATTTTTGTTGATGTGTTTTTCATATGAAAATTCAGCAAATACCACCTTGCTGCAATTACTGTTATCTTCACAGACATCCTGAGGGTTTACCACATAGTGCATGTAGTTGTCTTTTAGCGTAAAAATATTTTGTGTACATTTTCGAAAGAGTTCACTCCTAATGCATTTTGCTTCTGTTCACTGCTGGATCTATCAATATTGGTAGATTTCAGTTGTTACTTTCTGGTCAAGCTGAAATATGTTTAATCTGGATGTGTATGTGGTCTTGAATCTCATTTTAAGCCTAATTATCTTTTCAGTTAAGCCCGACCTCAATGAAGAAGTACTGCTTAGTCTTAAAGGAATAGTTTGACATTTTGCTGAGAGTCACATGAGATTGGTCAATTGGTTAGCTTAGCTTAGCAGAAAAGACTGTAAAAAGGGGGAAACATCAAGCATGGCTCTGTAGAAAGGTAATAAAATTGGCCCAAAAGCACCTCTAAATTTCACTAATTTACAGATCATTTATTATTATTTAACAATTAGTTCGTGCAAATATTAAAGTGTAAAATGACTTCCTGGTGTCTCTGCTGCTCATCTGGTAGCTTCATGGTGAGGACAAGGCTCCAGTTAGTCACTAACTTGTTGCTTTCCCCTGTTTTCAGGCTTTACATGTAGCTAAGCTAGTTAACTAGTTGCTGAATGTACCTTCATATCAGATATGAGAGTGGTATTGATATTTTCATCCAAGTCTCTGTAATAAAGTGAATAAGCATATTTGCCAAAATTCAGTATTCCTTTAATGTCTCAGTAGAAGAACTAACATTTTGTAATAATGGATTTTTGTAAAAAAGTGATTTTCTTTTTGTGGTTTGGCCAGAAAATGACTGGCATGTATTGTTCCTGAGTGCCCAATCATTTAACCCTCACCTTTTTGTTTAGATTTTTCTCCATGCCTTGGAGTTATCTTGAAACATCAACCTCAGAACACTAAGGTTGCATCCCCTAGCCTTGTTGTCTTTGACAGTTGTATTAATACCTTTTACAGAATAAACTAGTACAGGTTTTTATTCCTCCCCACATGACTTTGCATTTTCCATCCACAGTAGCACCTTTCTGTAATGTGATCCTACTCAAGTTAGAAGAATATTTATCACATCCATCAACTAGAAGAAATGTTTTTGTTCCTTGCACTGCTTGAGTGATTGCTTGAGATGCATATAGTCTTGAATTTTTTTTAAAATTCAGTAACATTTTGGCTGTGCATGTGACCTTCTGTCCATTAAAAGATCCTGAAACTAAGGCTCGTTCAGCTATCGATGCAACAAAAAACTGGAGCGGTGGAGTTAAACTTTAGCATGCCAATACATATATAGCATTTTTTAACAAACAGGAACCTGACATTGTGATGACTATCTTTTGAGATAATGCTAATTAATGTCACTGTGCCCAGAAAGCGTGTGCCCAGAAAGTCGCATCAGCTTTCAATAGAACACCTCATTGATTTTTTTTTTTTCTTGATTACATGATCAATAACATGTTGACCTTTCCTGTTTGTTCCTTTGGAGAAGTAAAAACACAAGAATTAAGACTTGACTGTCTGAGATTATCTGATCTAATTAATGATTTATTTTTTGATTATCCATTAATCCAAGTTGGTGACCTTGATATCCTAAAGTGTTTTCTTTAGGTCTGGCCTAACAACTTGTGGTTTCTTTAAAGCAGCCTGTTTTAGAAATAGATAGGCAATTAAATCTAGGTTACCTTTAATTAATGCAGCTAGATGCTCACCTGCATGTCTGTTTTTTTGTATTTCGTGTCAGATAAAAGCATACCACAGAGTAGATTTATTAGGAGTTGAGACAAAAACTTAAATGGACACTCGGTATTTAAATTCCCCAGATGAGTCCCCTTTGCATGGTTTTCATTTCACAGGAGCTTAAAGTTCTTATGTTTGTGATTCTATTCACTTCACACCTGGGTCATTTAAGGTTGCGGTGCACTTGCCCCAACTTTTACACAAGTACTTCACTTGAAATATATATATTTATTATAAAAGGAAAATCCAGCACTTATTAAATACTTTAAGCATGTTCTGACTTCTGCTCAGCCCTGATATGCATCACTCTGTTAGCCTGCTTTTGGCCGACCGCTAATTTCCCATCATGCCATGGTTCATTATGAGGGATTTATTTCTTCTTTTCGTCTCTCTTTACATGATTCTCTTGTTTCTCTTTCTGTCGGTCTGTCTTTTGTCCCTTTTCAGAGCGGTTTCACTCCTCTTCATATCGCGGCTCACTACGGCAATATCAACGTAGCAACACTCCTGCTTAACAGAGGGGCAGCTGTGGACTTCAAGGCAAGGGTAGGTACTTTGCTTCAAAGATGGCAAACACACAGATCTTTTGAAGTTAGTGCTGCTGCAAGCACTCACTCTAGACACTCATCAGAGGGCGGGACACTGTGTGTGTGTGTGTGTGTGTGTGTGTGTGTGTGTGTGTGTGTGGAATCTTATACTGACACATCAATCTAAAATCGACAGCTGTGCTTGTCACTCATGTTGTCTGTGTGCTATATGATACTATAGATTGCAGGGATGTATGTGTGCTGGGTTTAATGGGTGTTTGAGACTGGGTGTGTGTGCGTTTGTGAATCTATATCTATCTCAAAATGTTTCAATCTCAAATAATTGTCGATCCATACTTTATCAAACGAAATTCTAATTCAGTTTAACGTTGAATTTAACGTTCATATTTAGTTGTGTTGTGTGTTGTAAGTGTTCAGTATTTTTCTTATCACGTCACAAAGTATGTTTACTCTTAACTGTAGAGGTCAAATCCATCAATGTTTTGTTCCCTGTTTTTAAAGATTTTAAATCCATTTAGATCCATTGTAGCCAGCCATTTCCTTTAACATTGACTGTACAAAATTGTCTAAATTATGTGTGACATTATTTCATAATTAAGACATAATGGCAAAGAACAGTTTGAAGTTTGAAATCTGTGTAGTCATACAGATGATATAATCTTAAAATAGTTAGTAGATGATGTAAATTACTCCACAGTGCATAGTGTCCTATTAAAACCCCCTGTTTAGCCCTGTGTAAGACACCCAGTGCCACTCTGTCAGTAGATACAGATACTATTTATTGGCTTCTGGTAGTCTCTTGGAAAAGACAAAGGGAAAACCAACAAAGCAAACTAGAACACTGTGCAGCTGGCGTTGCTGGAGTGGTTATGTTCCTCTAGAGGGGGATATTTATCAATTTTCCTCTTGTACTGTCAAAGACATCCCCATTTCTCTAATTGAGTAAGCAAATTTCAGACAATTTCAACTGCAGTATTAAAATGCTGCAGGTGTGGAGAGACTGTCTGAAACGTGTTATACAGCTTCATTTTAGTTAAAATATGTTTGTGCATCTTGTGCATTTGTAGCCTACTGTATGCACAATGTCATGAATTATCATGTATCGATTACTTATAGATGACCCACAGAGTTACAATGTTTGTGTTATGTTCCTGTTGTGTTATTTTCCTTTTTTCTTCAAATAACTACAACTTAAACTGGGTAGTAAAATTTTCTGGCTTCTTGTCTCTATGCCTGAGTGGCTAAATGATGCTTCTCTTTCTCCCCAGAATGACATTACACCACTGCACGTAGCATCCAAACGTGGGAATAGCAACATGGTGCGACTGCTGCTGGAGAGAGGAGCCAAGATTGATGCACGGACCAAGGTACACACACACTTTGGACCTTTTTTAACTGTTAATATTTAAAGGGGTACTCCATCAATTTAGTATTGCACTTTCATAGGCTCTTGTAAGAGACACATTAAATAAGGAATACTCAATATCAAAGCAGCAGAGGACTTTGCAGTCCCTATGGACTTTTCATAATGCATAGTGTTGCTTTTTTAAAACCCTCCAAGTCTGGTTAAAAAAAACACTCCACACCAACTTTTCTGGTAAAAATGTCCCTAAGCCAAACTCTTGTCCATTTATCTTACAATACAGGCACACACAGTATCTGTATTATATCATCATCTCCATGGTGTCAAAAGCAGCTTGCTTTGCCCACCATTTTTTTAGCATAGGGCTTTTCTCAAGTGGGTGTGTCAAATGGAATTTTGTTCAGGAGGTGAAGGGTCACCTGCTGTGTCCTGTCATTAACCCATTCAGTGAGGGCTTCATTGCGTTGCTTAATGACACTGTTGGTGAGAGTACTATGAAGTTCAAAGCGGAAAATGTTTGTTTTCACAGGATGGTCTGACTCCTCTCCACTGTGGAGCCAGAAGTGGTCATGAGCAGGTGGTGGAGATGCTGCTGGACAGAGGAGCTCCAATTCTATCAAAGACCAAGGTACACCTCCAACCTGTGTCTGTCTTCTGTTTCATCATTCTCTATTCAATCTCCCTCTCGTCTCTTTCTCTCCTTCTATTTTTTACTCTGCAAAATCCCTAAACTGTCTCTGTCTTTCCTTCTCACTCTGTTTTTATAAATAGTTCTTTCTCCTGTATTCCTTCCAGAACGGTTTGTCTCCCCTCCATATGGCAACACAGGGCGACCACCTCAACTGTGTCCAGCTGCTGCTACACCACGAGGTGCCCGTGGACGACGTGACGAATGACTACTTGACGGCGCTGCACGTGGCCGCCCACTGTGGGCACTACAAGGTGGCAAAGGTCATTGTGGACAAGAAGGCCAACCCCAACGCCAAGGCACTGGTGAGGATTAAAGGATGGAGGAGGCAGTGGGGCAGCAAAAAGAGACAGTTGTCAGAAATTCACAAGTTTGAGGAAAATGAGGCAGAAAGAGAGAGAGGGTGTTAAGATGGCAGAAGGATAGACAGGTACAGAACATTAAAGTTGGTGATGAGGTAAAGTTTTTCTCCCATTTCTCAAAGGTTTAACCGACCCTGAAGGCCCCTCAATATCTTCTCAATATCAATCTTCTCATCAGTCATTTATGGATTTGATAGAATAGATAAATCTGCTGCCTACAATACAATAATAATTTAATTCCTATATGCTCACATGCTGTGTTTTAGACATTTTTCTAGATGTATACTAGCAGTTGGCAGGAATGAAAGACTGAGGGTCTCATTTTTGTGTTTTTTAAGTTTTCTTTTTCCAATTTTTTCCAAACTTCAAGGTGAATAATAACAATGAAAACAGTTTTTCACACAGAATGAGAAGAGACTCATGCACAGTATTTTATGGTTTATTAAATAGATTCCATTTCAGTCCCATTAAAAATGAAATGACACTTAACTTTTAGAAGAAAGAACAAGAATATTTATTCTTTTATTTTTATTCCATTTTTATTTCTCTATCTGTGTATTTACACACTCTAGCCTTTACGTTAATGGCATGGCATTCGGTTCACACTTGAGCCATGTTTAAGGAGTTACAGAAAATGTTTTTGATGTTATGACTTTCACAGAAAAGTGACATAACAACTACCAGCAGATTTATGTAAGGTGGTGCATTAGAGAAGAAAGTAATTGAAAATTAGTTTTTTCTCCGAAAAATATGAAATAGTTGAATTGAAATTGCAGTCTTGTTCAAGGTTGTGGCAGTGGAATGTTTAACTGTTGCAATCAGGTCTTGATGATTTCATCTCCCACCCAACAAAAAATGTCTTCCTTCCTTTTTAGTCTTTTATCTCCTCTCTCTCTCTCTCTCTCCCCTCTTACTTTCCTTTCTTCCTTACCTCCCTCATTATCTCTACTTTGTTTGTTTACAATAAAAAAAAGAAATAAGGGACTTAAATGGAGAAGAAAAGAGTACAGGAGAGAGAACATGAAGGAAATTAATGAAGAAAGCAGACAAGGAGACTAAAAGAGACTTTTTAACCACGGCCACTGTCTTGGTGTAAGACAACCATCTCTGTTCTGTAATGAGAGAAGTCTGGGTGTGGTTAGAGCACAGGGACTTTGTAGCCAGAGGAGAAGGAGAAGGGGAAAAAGGACATGGAGAGGAAAATGAAGTCATAGGATTGAGCCAGAAACCTCAAAGTCGAGTGAGGAAGAGAGGGAGGGAGGGGGCTGAGTGTACGTGTTGGCTAGAGAAGAGTAAGTTGTAAAGAAAAGTATCCATTTCAGTGCAGCATATTTTTCTTTGTTTTGTTTTTTTTTGTTTGTTTTTTTACAGCTTAGCGTCGAGTCACTTATTTCCACACATGCTCGTCTGGTTTGCATGCAGGCGGGTTAAGAGAAAAAGTGAAAGAAAGAGGGGGAAAAAAGGAAAGAAGGTCCTCCTTTGTACTGTAATTTCCATTCGCCGTTCCAGATTTGTCTTCTGCCAGCTCCACAAGATCTGCAGAGCAGCACACAAAAAAGTTGTTGGACTATTTTTATACTTTAAAATGTTTATATTTTTGTATTGATTTTTTTCAGAATGGTTTCACTCCCCTGCACATCGCCTGTAAGAAAAACAGAGTCAAGGTGATGGAGCTACTTCTGAAGCATGGAGCATCTATACAGGCAGTCACTGAGGTAGGTGTGTGTGTGTGTGTGTGTGTGTGTGTTTGTTTGTCTATGTGTGTGTGTCATAGAAGCAAGATGGCATCAGTTGATTTCTGTTAAATCAGTTTTTACCGGAGTTTAAATGTTTTGTTCTTGTACTCTGTGAACTGAGTGTAAATGGAGAAAGTAGGCAGATTTTTCTCCGGGGTTAAATTTGTCACAGTGGTGGAAAGTAACTAGGGGCATTCTCTCAGGAACAGTACTTAAGTACAGTTTTGACATACTTCTACTTTACTATCAGTTTTTTAAATTTTCTACTACCTCATAATTAGATTCCACTGTAGTTCAGAGGGAAATGCTGTACTTTTTACTCCACTACATTTATCTAACAACTGTAGTTACTTTGAAGGTTAACATTTTAAATTCTGTACCTGCTGCAAAAATCTTCTTCATCTGACCATGTAGTTTTTGTCAATTATTGTAAAAGTCTTATTTTCTTAAAACAACTAAAAAATCTAACATTGTAGTGAGATCAACTCAATTGAAGTCACCTAGTTTTATGAATTTTCTATAATAATTTTTTTTCTTGATTCTAGAGCAGCAATCCCTTATTATGTATTCTTTTAAAAATTCTCACTGATTTCTAAATATATCTTGATTTCTGTCAGAAACATGTTGAAACAATCCAACTGGACTTTTAGACCTCAGTAAGTTCAAATTAATAACCATTATTGTGCGGTAAATGCTGCTTATATGTTAATGCATGAGTAATAATAATCCAGTTATATGTTGCATAATGACTACTTTTTTACTTTTGGTACATTTTACTGTCAACTCTTTTACTTAACATTTTGAATGCAGGTTTCACGCTTTGCTATTGATATATGCACTTCAGTAACGTATCTGAGTACTTCCTCCACCCCTGTTCTCACATACAGTATAAGACAACACTTCTGAGAAGACAAACTCCTGAGTTCAGATAAAGGATAAGGCTGGATCTATATTTTGTTGTCAACAAATCCTTTGAATAGACTAAAATTAACAATGTGTTAGTCTGACTCCCTACCCTGTCTATGACACTCAAGCCCATTCATTCCTACAGAAGATGCAAGTCTTTAAAAACAGATCACGAATATAAACTTTCAATTTAAAAACAATCTTAGTAATTTTCATCTGGATGAAATGCTACTCAAACAGGAGTAAATAGGGCATTTGGTAAGAACTATTTTCAGCTGCATATTAATAAACAATAGTGAACAGCAGGACTGTAAGTGGGATTGACTCTAAAATAAACTACAGTGTGTTTGTTCATGGAAATGAAGGAGTGCGTCACCCAGTGTAACTCATTAGTGTGTTTTTAATAGTTTTTGGACAACAATGAAGCTTTGTGGCATGACCGTTTACGATCATTTAACAATCAGCCGTTTTACTTTGTAGAAAATGTCAGTTTCTGTAGACGGTACAATATTAGTAAAAGGAGAGAATGGGTATGTATCTCGATAGTTTTACACATTGTTGTATTTGACTGTATAATAAGGGAAGGTTTTGTGAATCTCCGTGTGTTTATGTGGGAGACGTGTCAAAGCTGGTAGGCACACAGGACACTGTAGTGATTAATAAACTGGAAAGGGTGACTATTTAATCTCTTTATTGATTTATTTTCATTAATTTCTCGTCTCCTGTGTCTTTTCACTATATAGTCCGGTCTGACTCCGATCCACGTTGCAGCGTTTATGGGACATGAAAACATCGTTCACCAGCTAATTCATCACGGGGCTTCACCAAACACAAATAATGTGGTGAGTTCAGGAAGTTCCTGATATCTGTTTCTTCCACGTTTCTTTCTAATATTCTTATTATCCTCCCAACGAATTAAGCAAATGGAAAATGGCAGAACTACATCACACATCATAAATATTATACTTATACATACTCATCATACTTATACATTGGATTATTTTGGATATAAGAACACATAAGAATTATGTTAGTAATAAGTGTTAAAGAGGTGGTATTATGCTAATTTTCAGGTTCAAAATCTTATTTAGGGTTTGTACCAGAACAGGTTTACATGGTTTAATTTTCAAAAAACACCATATTTTTCTCATACTGCACATTGCTGCAGCTCCTCTTTTCACCCTGTGTGTTGTACGCTCCGCTTGAGCTACAGAGTGATGCATCTTACTTGTACAAAATCTTTGTTGGGAGTTGCACATGTGTAGTTCCCAGGTAAGGACTACTAGCCAATCAGAAGCAGAGAGGGGCGGGTTGTAAGAAACAACGTAGTGTGATCCAAATCAAAGCCGCTTTAGACCGTAACCTAGCAGATGGTATAAGTTACTCACAAGTCCACAACCACACAACATCATTGTTCAGGGCTAAACGTTGAGCTGTTGCCGGTGTTCTGACGATCTATGCTGCCTTGCCGAAAAATGCTACCATAGCGCAAATCGATTTCGAGACTCGACTCTACTCTCTGTTTTCCATTGCAGATAGTACCCAGAGATAGTTCATAGCTTGTTGTCATAGCGATGCCACACACAGCTGCCGCGACGTAATGTTCAATGCGACTTTTTATATACAGTCTATGTGCGACACACACACCAGCGATCCACACAGCTTTCTCTTTTTTAAGTTAAAATGTTTCAACATTCCTCATAATGTAAAGACAGATAAGCTGTATGAAAACCTTCCAGCTGTGTCCAACGAAGGTTAAAGTCAAGGGCTACAGTTGACCCTTAACCTTTGTTGGATAACTATGACCTGGATGACGGCGGGAGCAGAGGGCTCTGTGAGCAGGCGGCTGGCCGGCCTTACACGCTCCCCCCGCGGGTTGGTACAGGCTTCCTCCGCAGCCACTTGCGGAGCTCCTCAACTCTGAAAATATTCAAGCACATTTTTGTTCCGCCATCACTTCTCGTAAAACTGTCAATATTTGATATCTACACAGTTGATTTCTCACCTCAAAACTTCTCAGAAGTGGATTTAGTGATGAAATTCCATACAAAAACTGTAAAATATAAAACTTTCTCTTGCTGGCCTCTGTCTGGTGCAGCAATGATGATGCAGTGAATAGACGATTCTCTCTGACCAATCGGCAGTCTGTCGTGTTTTCATGTTACATTTTAGTATCCCTCAGCTCGCTTGGAACCTCGACGGAGGTGAGGTGTACCTGGAAGCAGGTACAGGTGCAACATTTGTACAATGGAAAACCAAACCAAGGCGAGTCGAGTCAAAGGGCCTCCGCTCAGACTAGCTTGGTTTGAGGGCGTGCCTGACCCCCGCTAGCTGCTTGGTAAGCTTTATGACGCGTTTTCAGTGTGACGTCACAAGTAAAGGAAGTGAAGGGCTGGACTACAAACGAGCTGTTTTCAAGCAGAATTTTCTGTGGGAGATGGGAACTCCCTTTGGGCTGGACTTTGGGCTTTTTCACTTTGCAAACCTGTTACATGCACAAAAATGAGATATAACTCAATAAAGGAGAGGGGAAAAGCCAAAAAGCATAATACCACCTCTTTAAGCGATTATCCATCGTCTGTACGAGAGAGAGAGAAAATGAGATGACATTTTTCACAGTTTCTTTTATAATGTAGTGTTTGAAAGTAGCCAAGTACAATTCATGTAATTAAGTGCTGTACTTAAGTATAATTTTGAAGTACTTGTACTTTATTCGAGTATTTCAGTTTTGTTCTGCTTTATACTTATCCTCTACAGGATAATATTGCACTTTTCACTCTAGAGTAATTTCTTATAAAAAAAAAAAGCCCAACATGGAATAATATTATAAAATACATGGTAAAGACTAAACCAGTGGTTTCCAACCTTTTTGGCTCCTGGCCCCTTGAGGTTTTAACAGTTTTACCAAAGAGACATTTCCCCTCTTAACCTCTCATTTGGTTTAATTTGAATAATAGTGCCCAAAAGTTAACATTATCCAATATTTCACAAAAAGAGAAGCTAAAAACGGTGTGGCAAAACGTTTAATCATCTCATGACCACTCACATTGGTATTGTGACTCTTTGGTAGGCTCCTACTCCTAGGGTGGGAAACACTGAATGAAACTACCTAACTTTATATAAAGTAGTTCAAACAGTAGAATGCTGCTTAGACATTGATACATCAGTATTAACGATCTAATAATGTCATATTTAATTATATAAAAGTTATAGGCGCTATTTTTCTGCAGAACAAGTACTTTCACTTTTAATACTTAAGTTCATTTTGCTTATGATAGTTTTGTACATAAAGTGGCTACAGCCACTATTTGTATTAACAATGTAATGACAGAGAGACAGGCAGGCAGATTACTAGGGGAACAGACAGAACACATGTTACAAAATACCAGACAAGAATTTAACTTCAGACAATAACAGAAATCCATGTAAACAGACAAACACCGACCAGCTATAACACAGAGATAATAACAGACAAAACCTAAATGAGAACACAGAACTAGAACACAGAGCAGACTAAACTAAAATAATGCAGACAAGGAACTAGAAGTAAATACTAAGACATGAACTAAGGCACAGGACTAGGAACAAAGACATGGAACCAAAACACTCTCTGCTTCTGATTGGCTAGTAGTCCTTAACTAGGAACTGCGCATGTGCAACTCCCAACAAACATCCTGTAGAGGTAAGATGCATCACTCCGTAGCTAAAACGAAGCCTTCAACACACAGGGTGAAAAGAGGAGCTGCAGCAATGTTCAGTATGACAAAAAATATGATGTGTTTTGAAAATGAAACCATGTAAACCTGTTACAACCCCTAAATAAGATTATGAACCTGAAAATAAGCATAATACCAACTCTATAAGTGAGCTTTTTCTTGTAACGGACTACTTTTATTTTATTCTATTGATACTTCTTTCACCACCATACTTGTCAACCTTGAGACCTCAGAAATAGGGATTTCGAAAAAAGAGGGGGTTCTTCAACCAGAAAAATGCATTCCTGCATTCAGATATCTTGAAATGAAAATAACAATAATAGTAATAATAATTACACAGAAACTGCCTTTTTGTGTTAAATACTTTAATAATTCGGCCATCTGGCATGAGTTTGCGTGAATCTCTGGCACAAACTAATATTCATCAGTTTTCATTTATTTAATCATTCATTGCCCCTGTCCCTTAGAGAGTACTCACTGAGAAGGATGGGGCATGAACAGCTCTACTTATACACTCTGAACATTTGCAGAAACAGGTTGTGATAATGAAAATAATTTGTGAGAATTTGTCATAAATCTGGAGTAATACGGGAGAATTGCAAAACTGGGAGAGGGCAAAGAAACACAGGAGAGTTGGCAAGTATGTTCACCACTGATAATGCGACACCTCAGGCAGCATTTTACAGAGAGACACGGATATATTCAAACATAGTAACAGACTTTATGCCGGCCTGCATTACCTTGTAGAAAACTGAGCAATTCCTCCAAAACCTCTGTAGTTCAGGAAGGAGGAGAGAAAGTCTATTAGTACCATGTGTACGTAAGGAAAGGACTCTCATCTTGTCAACACTCTTCTATAGGAGCTACAAACTCCTGTTAACTCTTAAGTCACATTAAAGGAAGAATAGAGAGAAAGAGAGAGATAGATGGGAGGAAGAGTTGAAAGAGAAGAACCGAGTAATGAGCAAACAGAGAGGGAAGAGAGGGAAAAAAAGAGGGGAAAGAGTACTGCACATTCAACTCTTCAACCCCAAGTATTTGGTCGCCCACGCCGTGTCTGTGGCCAGGTTACCGTAGAAACGGAGCATTATGGGACGTCATTATGGTGAGTTGGGTGTGGAGAGCGAGGGGGTCTCTCTGTCTCTCTCTCTCTGTCTCTTTCTGCCTCTCTTTCACTCTGTACATCTGAACAGAAAGGGAGTTTCTACAAGAGTGTGTTTTAATGAGGAAGGAGGGCAGAGAAGAATCAAAACTTTGGAACAACCATCAATCCCTCTTTCCTGTGCATGTGTCTGGGTGTTTGTGTGTGTGTTACAGAGGGGGGAGACGGCACTCCACATGGCAGCGAGGGCAGGACAGTCAAATGTGGTCCGATATCTGATCCAGAATGGAGCACAAGTCGATGCCAGAGCCAAGGTATAGACCACGTGTGACATTTGATTTCAGACAAAACTCATCCTTCTAAATAGAAAACACATTGAACCAATTCATACACAACTTGTGTGTGTGTGTGTGTGTGAGTTTGTGTGTTGATGTATGTTTGTTTGTTTGAGACCAAATAACGATATCGTGCCTGAGTGTGTGCTTCTATTTGAGAGTGTGGTTACGGCTGTGCACGTGTCTAATTACTGAGTGATTACAGTGCAGCAACGATTTGTCTTTGTCTTCTTTTTTCTTCTTTAGAATTTTAAAATAATACACTAGAAAAGCCACTATTCATTGAATCAGACTTTAAGTAAGGCTTCCCGAATTTATCATCATTTAATCATATTCAGAATGTAAAATTGCTTTGGTGTTCAGTACAAAGTTCAACATAGCAATTAAGAACATGAGCACATGCACATTGCGAGGTTTCTTTCCTAGCTGCTGTGTTTGTCTTGGTATCAATTAAAAATGTTTGTTTGTTGTCACCAGGACGACCAGACTCCGCTGCACATCTCAAGCCGTCTTGGTAAACAAGACATTGTCCACCAGCTGCTGGCAAACGGAGCATGCCCAGATGCCACGACCAGCTCTGGATACACACCTTTACACCTGGCCGCCAGGGAGGGACACAGAGATGTGGCATCATCGTTGCTGGACCAAGGAGCTAGTCTGGGCATTATTACCAAGGTAAATATCACACACACACACACACACACACACACACACACACACACACACACAAAAATCTAATGTGACTTGATCGGTAACAGTTGTAGATTTTCTACATAAGACTGCTGCGCCACCGTAAGGGACTCCCAGGTTGAGGAACATGAACCCAGTACAGTTGAGTGAGTTGGGTCAGAATGACTCTAGAGTCTGAAAACACTGTTCCTGAAGAGGTTTTCTTTGGGCATTACTCATGTCATAACATCCATTTAACTGCAGTAGAGCATTTAATGGCTACAGTTTCGACACTGAGGAAAGTCCCTAAAATCTAAAAACAGTTTCCAGGTCATTTTCAGCCAAGACTGGATATTGGCAAAACAAAGAAACAGAACAGGCTCAACGTGTTGCCTCTATATTAGATCACTTGAGGTTTTTTTAGGATTTCCACTAGCCAGGAGCCATTGAATTTAATTTAGTTAGATGCCAAAGTTTGCTTATTAGCATAAACACAAAGTACAGCAGAAGATAATACGATCGTTTATTTTGCAGATATTTGGTCAAACATATAATTATTTGGTAGTCCAACTTTTGGATGGATTGACAGAGGGATCACCAAAGTCATTAGGATTCATCATCTGGGAAGCGTGAATGTTCATGTACAATGTAATGTACAAAATGATATGCCAATCTGTAATATAGTTGTTGAGATATTTCAGTCTGATTGAAAGTGGTGGACCAACAGACAGACATTGCCATCCCTAGAGCCATGCTGCTAGCATGACTAAAAATGTAAGAGGAAAATTTGTTTAATTTTATGACTAGATATTGCCTAACACATCTGTAATGTCTGAATAACATGTTAAAATGTTCATGAAGTCCTATTATACACACAATAATTTTCACAGATCTGTAGTTTCCCTACCAGCAGGGATCCCACCTTGACGGTGCCGTATGATTTTTGCTGCCACATGACAGAAAAAGGTTCCTAACGTACTTGAATGTGTTCGTTTTTTTTGTGAACAATTACCTAATTGTCTCAGGCATATTTCAGCCTAAGTTTTTAGTTTCGGGAAAAAACTCAGTCACTAGATTTTAAGGAAACTCCCAATTCTACTTAAAGGCCACTGTTTATTAAGGTCAGTAAATGTAAAAGATTACTTTATTTCAGATTAAAGGTAGAAGAAGCACAAATGTGGGCTAACATTTCAGTGGGGTTGAATACAATCAAGTTGAAATAATCTAATCTAATATAGAATATTCAGCTAGCGAGACATGCGTGATTGTAGATTGTTATCATTTATCCATCCACCACCTCCATATGGATTCATGTTGTGGAAGTTCAGGGCCTTGAACCAGGAAGTCAGTCTGGATTCTGTCAAGTCCCATAACTGTTAAGTCACCTCTCAGCTCTTGCGTGCATACAGACGCGCACATATAATAAACACATATGCAAACACACGCAGAGCTGACCACAGTTACAGATCTGTGTTGCCTCATAGCTGAAGAATCTGCTTTAACACGCACACGCAACACACATCCTATTTCCACACCCTGAGCCCTTATTTTTAAACCCAAAATAATCAGTTTCTCATGTTATCATGACATAACCCTGCAAATTGCTCAATTATAAGTGATTAAACACATATGGTTCTGTGAAGCAGCCATGCATAGAAAATGGACTGGAGTGTTTTAACAACCAAGTACAACTCAGATTAGAGTTTGTGAGAAATTTGGCTTAATATTCTCTTCTGTTGTTGTATGTCTCTGAAGAAGGGCTTCACTCCTTTGCACGTGGCTGCAAAGTACGGGAAGATCGAGGTCGCCAACCTGCTACTGCAGAAAAACGCTCCATCTGATGCTGCAGGGAAGGTAACGCACTGGAGTGTGTGAGAGAAGGATGGTTTAAGAAAGACAGCAACAGAGTGTGTGAGCTCCCAAATAGACAACAGAGCACAGGAGATTTGTCCTCATTCATATATGCAACTCACACACACTATCACATGCACACTATCACGTTCACTTGTTTGTTTTGTAGCTACACTCATGGTATTTATAATACCTCTGCTCATACTGCACTATATTGTATACCATATATTACCATCTTACAATGTTTGTTTGTGTGTGTGTGTTTGTTCAGACTGGACTAACTCCACTGCATGTGGCAGCACACTATGATAACCAGAAGGTGGCACTGCTCTTGCTAAACCAGGGAGCTTCACCGCATGCTGCTGCAAAGGTAAGAGTCAGTTAAAGTGAGTGTGTCGAGGGAATCGAATGTTCCTTAATGCATTAATGCACCAAAACCTCTCTCCGTCTTTCTTTGGCTCTGGATGAAAGCAGGCTGACCTAGTTTCAGTCACCCACATAGTGAACCGGCTGAACAAAGCATTGTGATTGGCTGGTTGAATGCCACGTTCACTCTAATAGCATCTATCCCGAATGGGCTGCCACTGAAATTAGCTAGGCCCCAATAACTTTTACTCCTGGTAGAATATTGAATTAGTCCGTTGTCAGGCCTTGGACATAAAAGAATTTAGCTAATGTTTTTAAAGCAAAAATCTTTAGGTCCTGGACATAAACTGTTAAACTGTAAATGAGACATATGAACATGAGACTGTTGTGCCCCAGATTGAGTGCCTAAAATGTTGTGCTATGGCCATTATTTTAAAAGGATAAAGCTGTGTCCATCAATCGTGTGTGTGTGTGTTTAAAATAATAAAACGCAACCAATTACTTTGTTGTATTTACACTTATCTTGGAGTAATTAATTTAAAGTAATAGTTTGGGAAATTTGGGCTTTCTTGCTGGAAGAAGATCAAAACCGCTCTCTTTTCTTTATGCTAAATATTAAGTTATAGCCAGCAGCTCATTAGCTTAGTTTAGCTTAAAGTTTGGAAATAAGAGGCAAGTTTGCTTTCATACAGGGGGTTATGTGCTGGATTATTTATTGGTCCAGCACAGTAACTTCCTGAAGTCTTGGCGAGATTGCCAACCAACCAGCAAAGACTCCAGGAAGTTACTGCTCTCGGCCAAGTTAAAGTCTGGCACATAATATTTATGTGTTTATATGAGAATGGTATCGATCCTCTTATCCGATTCTCAGCAAAAAAGCGAAGAAATGTATTTCCTAAAATGTTTAACTGTTGTCACACATGGCAATAATGTTTTCTCTCAGATAAGCTGTAAATGCAGTTATAATACAGTTCTTCATGACACTTGCCAGTACAGGCTCTTTCACAAAAATGCACATAACACATTCTTTTTAAAGTGTAATTTTTGTAATTAAGTTTAAACGAACTGAGAATTAGATTCAGAATATTCTGTATTTTGTCCAACTGAATTCGATTTTGACTTGGCTGTATGTGAGTGGATGTGAACCAACAAACAATCCTCTCTGTTTCTCTGTACCTAGAATGGCTACACACCACTTCACATTGCAGCTAAGAAGAATCAGATGGAGATAACCACCACGTTACTGGAGTACGGTGCCTCCACCAACACAGTAACACGCCAGGGAATCACGCCTCTGCACCTCGCAGCACAAGAAGGCAACGTGGACATAGTGACCCTGCTGCTGGCTCGAGATGCTCCCATAAACATGGGCAATAAGGTACGAGATCTGTGTGTAAAACCTGTTTGACTCTCTGAGAAAGCTTTCATTTTTAACCTCTGGAATATATTGTGCTGTATTCTATCCCTCTGTCTCTCTCTCTATCTCTATATTGAACTGTTTGCACATCTGTAACTGTGTCTTGTTTCTCTTAACTTAATCTATATATTTAAATTCTGTCTGTGCATTTAACTCTATATATGTAACCTCTCCCCTGTCTCTGACTGTCTTTCTTCAGTCTGGGCTGACTCCACTTCACCTGGCTGCCCAGGAGGATAAAGTCAACGTTGCTGAGGTCTTAGTCAACCAGGGAGCTACTATAGACCCTGAGACGAAGGTAAAACTACTCATAGCTACTTGATACAAACCCCTGGTTTAAGTAATTTATGAAGCGGAAATGCAAAATATTCACTGGTTCCAGCTTCTTAAATGTGAGGGTTTGTTGCTTTTTTCTGTTTTATACGATTGTAAAATTGAATATCTTTGGGTTTTGGACTATTGGACTATCACCTCCAAGAGTTGTGTCCGTCCCAATACCCACACTTGGCATATTTGCCAATAGTCTTGTATTTGCTAGTAGTAGTTGCAAGTGCCTACCTATTTGCTATGTTTCCAGTAGTTGCCACAATGCCCATGTGGCCTTTAAGTTGATACACGCTTGATTCATAAGGATGTCCATGTAAATACAAATAATGCACATGACACACTTTCCAGCTCTTTTTGATTTGTTGGAACAAATAAATAGGATCAACAATAAAGTATTACAGTTACAGTCAAATGAAAATCAGGAGCTGAGAGGAGTAATACAATTAATAAAGCAATTAAATCAACTTATTTTGTAGCATTTAAGTGTGTTATACATAAAAGACCCAACATGTTTCTGTCTAATATATTTTTTAAGAACAGAAAGAACAGTTAACATTATGTGATCGCCATCTGTGGAGGTTCTGCCATAACTGAGGAGTGTTTAAAAATTAATTATAATGTCATAAACTAAATACCACTTCAAAGCAGTATTAGGGAAGTTCTAATCAAGCGTGGGTTAAGCGTAGTTCACACTACACAATTTTTAGCCCGATTTGCCGCTCGCCAAGCTCAGTGACCGTCAGGCTGTGATCGGGGTTAAATCAGCGGTCTATCGGCGGTCGCTAGTCACCCCGACATTTCTGACACATCGCCAACATCTGCCAGATATCTAGCATGCCAAATATGTGGAGGAATCTGCCGACTCGACATCCACATCCGGCCAATGAGAGCAGGCAGCTACTTTTTCACTGCAAAACACTTTTTACTCACCTCCAGCTCTCTCTGTAGCTCAGACAATCCCTGCTACCTGCGTGTGCTCATCCGTTCTTTCACCCATATTCTTTGTCTTTATAATTGTTATCTTTTAATAACAAACAGTTGTTTTGTGTGTAGATTCGCATCATTCCCGTTCCACATTTCACGTGTGTTCTTGACAAAACATGGTTTGGAGACCAGCGTTGGTTGACACAGCCGCTGTCAGCTCGTGTAGTGTGTGACCCCCTGTCACAGATCAGTCACGTAGTGTGAACGCCACAACAACTTCAAGACTCCTGTTACAAGACGGCAAGTTGTGTAGTGTGAATGGCACGGCTATCGGCCGACGCTGAAAGTCATGTAGTCTGCACAAGCCTTTACATGTGCTGTGAGTTGTGCTCAAGACTGAGAAGTCTGGATATTATGACAGACCGTTTGTCAGTCTGACATTTTATAGACTCTAGTTTAGATGTGTGTAAATTAATCAGAGGACAAATAGCCTCTTAGACCCTGCGGGGATCAAAATTATCCTCTCTTGCTCATCATACTGTCCAATTGTTTCATAAAACAAATTCCATATAGAAGTTACACATTTTATGTAGATGAAGAGGCTGATCATCTCTTTGCCTTTCACATTTTGCTAATGATTTTCTGTATCATCAGCTGGGATACACTCCTCTCCATGTGGCCTGTCACTATGGCAATGTGAAGATGGTCAATTTCCTGCTGAAAAATCAAGCGAAGGTCAACGCTAAGACCAAGGTAACCATTTTGTGGGTGTATGTGTGTGTGTATATGTGTTTTTTTTGGTTTTTTTTTTATTTCAATGTCCAGAAGAGATTTTAGCAGTGGCATATTTTCATTCAGTATATATTAACTGTATGTTACTGCCTGTGCGTGTCAGTGGGTGTAGAATAAATGTGCTGTGTGAGTGTTTTCTAACTCTGACTTTTCTCTCTTTTTCCATCCTCTGCAGAACGGTTACACGCCTCTCCATCAGGCTGCACAGCAGGGACACACACACATAATCAACCTGCTGCTACATCATGGAGCATCGCCCAACGAACTCACAGCTGTGAGTACACACAAACTCAGGCGAATGCTATAATATGCACATATACTAGTCACCACACAGTGAGTAAGATGTGAAATAGCTTTGATAATTAAGGTTTTAGTGCACACGAAGAAGAACACTAATTTCCTGATATTGTTTCAAACAAATCACTTACTACTTTTATTTTTTTATCCAGAATGGAAACAGTGCTCTGTCCATTGCCAGGCGGCTCGGCTACATCTCTGTGGTTGACACACTCAAAGTGGTCACAGAGGAAACTCTTACAACTCAGGTGTGTATGTGTTTCTGAGAGTGTGTGTGCAAATATACCATGTTCAGGGCTGGTTTACGGAAATGTATAGTTCCCCCCAAATCCCTCTATTGTGTGATATAAAACAATGGCTGCCAAGTGAATCCAGCCTGAGTACTTTTAAAATACAACTGACTGAAATATCCACATGCAGTCACCACAAATTTTCAAATAGCAGCCAAGGCCATTTTTCAAACCATGATTAAATTAGAGATACTCCTACTTTTTATTAGTATATTCTTTCATATTTTTGTAAAGTGTTTGCTTGTTTTCTAATGTGTTCTGCTGGAGCTCTGCCATTATTCAAACTCAACACTGATCCTGTACCTGCTGCTCTGACTTTCTCATTTAAGTAGAACACTGTTCTCATTCCCTAATGAATAGCAGTCGGTCCTACTTTGCTGTTTTTTCGTTCTAATCTGAGCTGATGACAGTGATACTCAAGATTTCCTGCGATAATGTTTCACATTAAAAGCCTTCCTGTGGCTCAAAGGGCACAATCTTTCTGTTTCCAGGTAGGTTTTTAATGTGAAACATATGCAGGAAGCTTATTTCATTTTAGCTTAATGTCGATCAAAGAAAACCCCGGCAAAGTAGAAGCAATTGGAAGTAATGAATGAAAGCAGTGTTAAAAACAGAAACTTAAAAGTTGGACAAACTGAATTAGCATTGTGAAAATTTACCAAATGAGCCACTAAAGTACAGGTACTTGCACTCTCCCCTCTTTACTTTTTTTTTACCTAGCTTTCATTTGTTCTTGCTGGCCATTATGTGAATAACAGCTTTAGTTTAAGACTTCTCTGGAATAAATTCCTTTTTTGTGGTGGTAAACTGGACTAGAGGAGTCATATTAGGAGGAAACATATTAACAAAATTTCTGTGTTCAACAGACTGTGATAGAGAAGCACAAGATGAATGTTCCAGAGACCATGAACGAGGTGCTGGACATGTCCGATGATGACGGTAAGGTTTTACCTTACAGCTTAATTGTTGTGTACATCTGGATTCCTTCAAATCCATCAAAAACAGTTATCCCTATACAACCTGACCTCAGAAATCCTGGAAAGACAACCAAAGTTCATAAAATCTGAGTCATATTTGGCTTTTGGGCTGGAATAGGAAGAGATCCAAGTGCTGGTCCCTTGGTTACTAAAATTTCCCCATTGTTGTCAAGGAAACAGTTATTTTGTTGTTGTTGCAGAGTAATTCAGGTGAAAAGGCCAACATGTTTTTTTTTTTTTTTCATGATTAACTTATTTAATTTAATTTTAGTTACAACCATGAGTATGATTTAAGCCTTTATTTCCAAAGTGTCATATCCATCCACTGAAAATGTACAGTAATCACATTGTTGTTTTCAGTTCTTTCTTTGCCTGTGATTTTGTTATAGATATGATTTTTCCATATTTTTGGTTCCCTTTTTCACTCTAACCCTCTCCTCCATCCCAATCACACAGTCTGTAAAGCGAATGTACCCGAAATGATCACAGAGGACTATATATCTGATGTGGAAGAAGGTATTTTTCATCTTTCTTGATTATTTTGTTTTTTAAATCCTCACTTTTTTCATACCTCTTTCTGTATGTGACTCGTCTGTTCTTAAGATTCCCAATCTCTGGTTTCTCATTCCTTTTTTCATTTAACCCTATTCCAGTGGTGTCAAGATTTATATGTACTTTATTTTATTGACAGTAGTAAAATACCTCGATGAGATTGTGTTCTAGTAAAGATGTATTTTTCTTAAGTGTATGCACAAACTGTTGTACTGTACATGTGTGAAACACTGTACTGCACCATGGTGTACCATGTTTGACTCTTTAGTGCTGTGTTGTTGTAAAGCCTTCAGTACTTTCATGCGTCGAAATGCAGGGAATATGCCTTTCTCCTGGTTGCCATGCCAACTGTCTGCATATGGCGTGGTGGACTGTGTAACAGATTTCTTTTCAGAGTAGACGGCACACACACTCGATCCTTTGTCTTCGGAGCCTTGTCAGGGACGCTTCCATTGTAGTTTCACACATTTGCGCCAAAGCAAACACGGTGTCAGCTGCTGGAGTGTGTGTGTGTGTGTGTGTGTTTACTTTGTGTATCTCTTTCTCATGGTCTCTAGTATGGCGCAAAAGTGGCTGAACTTGAACTCTATACTGACTGTCCCAAAGGAGGTGCAGAATGGGGGAGGAAAAAAAAGCTAGGCATTAATATGTCGAGAATATTCAGTCAGTTCATTTTTGCTTGGCTCATTCAGCCCTCCAGGTGTGTTTTTGCTAAATAGTCTGCATTGATGGTCAAAAATGGCAGGCATTCATTTTTAGGTAGTCACATGTTTCTTGCTGTCTGCTATGCAGTTTTCAGATTTTATAGCTGCTAAATGTCAGCAGCCTGCAGAAATCCACATGTCCTCAACACAATTGAATCCCTTTACTTTCCCACTATGGTTAAAGGGGCTGTATGTAGTTTTTCAATGAAATCACTGAAGCCTCATTTAGAAATGAAGCACACGCTTGTTTTCTCTGTTGCTTAGAATAGCCACTATTCTGCTTTTTATGTGAAGGTGCCGGGTCGGGATAGCTCTGTGCGCATTCCCACTCCCATTCCATTCTCCCACTACAGCATCACAGCAAACGACATGCAGTCCACTAATACCACAAAACAACTCAGTACAGACTCCGACATAAACTCCATGTAAGGATAAAACAACAATAACGTTTTACGTGCGGAAGCCCACCAGACCAAACTGATTCAGATGATGTCGAGTGAAAACAGTGAACATCAGAAAGCTGGAGTCACATTAGCTCGCCGGCTAATGCTGAGCAGTTGCTAATGTTATTCGCTGCAAAGTTGTATCGCTTTCCACATTACTTCCCCAACTAACGCAACCCATATAACTATACTGTGTACCCCCGGTAGCGGTTTGTTATACTAGCTTATAGTGATGCAGGCAGGGCAGCCAGCTAACGGAGCCCGGACCTGCCACTGTTTGATTCATAACGTTCACTTTATATTTATTTTTGTTTTACCAATACTCAGGTAAAAGCTTATCCACCTCTCATTCGCTGTAACTAACAGGACCCACATAATACACAATACTACAACAAAACTGCACAGGACAACAACACAGAGAAAGACCACTACAGTAATGTTACTTACTGCGGTCTAACTATAATTTATAATATTCAGTCTAGCTCACTAACCTTTTCGTTATCATCCAATACATTTAGCTGTGCTCACATTGCTGAGCCTCCGGTGAATGATACAAAGATAGTAATGTTACTGAAAAGCAGACAGGGGAGCTGACGCCAATGTAGCACGTCGGCTAAATGCAAGGTACGGAGCCAGTGTTGATCTGCCTCTGAGCCGAGAACATTAAAGTAACAGAGCCTGAACAAGTCTGGAGAAAAGCCACAGCCAGCATGCCGCTGTTTCTGCGTTTATTGTGGGATCTCTGTATGAAAGTGGTTGTGTTTCAGATTATGCTCGCGAGCACTCATACGAGCACACACCTGGTTGCAATCTTAAAACCGCATCAATAGTGGATGCTGAAAACTACATATCGCCCCTTTAAGTATGTGTGTGGACCGATTACCAGGTGTGCCATAGTTTCTACTGGCCAGAAAAAATGTCTGCTTCCTGCCATTTATATTTAGGTGTAAGCAATTGGGTGAGTTGAGAAACAGAACAGAGGAATGAAAAGGGAAACAATGGGAAATGTACACGCTCTTTACCATCACCTGATATACATTTTATATATAGCCTTATGTCCCGGTCACTAATATTCCTGCTAGCTGGATTTCAGAGATATTGGAGATATTCAATAAGGATTACAAAACAAATGAATGGTTGAAGGTGTATTTCTGCTTTATTTAAACAGAGATGGATGTTGGAAATATCTGCATCAGCTATTCCTGTAAGTCCAAACAACGGTGATATCACTGTAACTAACTCCAATAACCAGTCTGAAGTGGTACAGCTAAACTGATTGAACTAAACACGTGTGTGCTTTTGTTGCTGTTTTTTTTTATAGTGTATGTATATTTATGTGCATGTTCGCCTTCACACTGAATTTATGTGCAAGTTGTTGTTGTTTTTGTTGTAGACCTGAGTAGTGTCCGTCTTTAATTTCTGATCTAAAAATATATGAAGTGTAACTCTAGGCACACACACTCACTCTCAAGCTCACATACCAGCTCAGTAACAGCAATGATTAACATCTCCAATAACACACACAGTCCGAGATCTAAATAAGGACAGCCCACAAACCGTGTGGAACCTTTTGTAAACTGCTGTGGGCTTTCCAACAAGTTGTGTAGTTAATTAATATTTAGTCAGTATGGATATAAAACTTGAATGATGACATAACTTAACTATTTATAAGGCAAAAACATAGTCACCACATGTTGGCTCATATTAAACAGTCAAGTTTTGTTTTAGTCAAGTGTTTAATCATCTGTTTCCAGTGTTATTAGGCAAAGAATGAATGTGTTGTATGTTTTCATCCTTGGCCCTGTACACCTGTCTTTGGTTTTTACATTTCATATTCTAAATATAACTTGCTATTTAAAAAAATAGAAGCAGCACCATTAAGAACAAGACAGCCTGCTCATTTGGCAACTGATCAGTATAGTGTAACTAAGGTAATCTTAGAGATGGTTTACTTTTGGAATCAAGTTGAACAAAAATGAGGAAACTTGACTTGGATTTGACTGTTCTGAGACTTTGACTTACTTGGGACTTAGAAATTAACCAGAGATTCAAAAGCAAAAACAGTCAAGTCTCAAGTTTCGATTTAGTTAAATCCTGGAACATTGAAAACTGAATAAGACATCACATATAAGCAGGCCTTGCATAGCCCCAAACCTGAATATTTAAACACATTCATATAAAAAAAATTCTAAAGCTCTGTCGATTTAATGTTCAGCATTCAGACCTGGAAGACTTGCATCTTGACTTGCAATTTCCTTACAAGAACAGTAACTTTAAACTGGAACTCCACTGATTTTGCACATCCAAGTGTATTTACAGGTCTCGGGGAGTACTACTGTGTATGTTTAAAAAAAAAAAAAAAAGAATAAAACAAGTTGAAATGTAATGTGATATGTAATGCAGTGTATGTCACAAGTGCAAATATGCAACAAATAAGGCAGTGCAGCCTGATGAATTGTAAGTTACATGCAAGTAGAGACACAACATCTCACATCATCCATCTTTACGAATTTTTTTTCAAAAATAGCATACATTTATACATGCCAATTTTGTATCTATGTGTTTATGTCTTTGGGTGCTTAGGAATCACCAGCAGCCAATGTATTCTGCATCATTTTAACGTCATGTTCCAGTTGGTTGGTTGGAGAACGTTGGTCGTAGCAGCAGCCAAACCTTGAGTGAAGTGAATTGAAGCAGTATTTCTGATGCAGTCTGGTTGGGAAATCTCTTTTGGAGATATGCAGAGTTATGAATTTCTGTTGAAACATGTGAGTTGACACACGGAAGCAGCTGCAAAGGTTACTCATCAAGAGGGAGAACGAGTGAGCCTAATGACGGCAAAGAATTTGTACTATTTAGTAGATAGAGAGATAAACAAGCAGAAGGACAGGCAGGGGCAAAGACAAAAAGAACAGAAAAAGACCATATATATAAAACAAACCAGTGTAAAAATATAAAAAGAGTAAAGGAGTTATGAAGTTAGAGTAGTACATACTCTTAAAGACTTGATTTTACATGTTTAGTTGTTTAGATGACTACTTAGTCTGAGTCACACACCCACTTACTATTTCTGTCCTGCAGTGAGCTCTAGGTGTCTGCTCTGAAACACACACGCACACACACACACACACGTACACATACTGGATAATCCTGGGGCAGGGTGGGTAGGCGGGAGAAAGCTGATCTGTTAGTGTGAGCGCCGGGCTGTGAAAGAGAGAGACAGTGTGAGCAGGAGAGAGCGACAGAGTTGGAGGGAGGTTACAAGTCGAAGAAAGTTAGTTCAGGGTGAAATCCTGCAAACTGGACTTCTGGCTGAATGAAGTGCTTCAAAGCAGGAGGTGAGTTGTGGCTCACTCTGGAGGGGTTCGATGTCGCTCAGGCTGAAATGAGAAGGGGTCCTGGAGAATGAGTTGGAATGTCACCAGATGGGGTCTGTAAAGTGTGTGTCTTGTGTGTGTGTGTGTGTGTGTGTGAGAGAGAGAGAAAGTTTAGGGGGAGGGGTGCTGTAGCAGCAGGGGATGAAGGGACAGGAGGGTGGGGCGGGGGTCTCCGGTGCTTTGTGGTTACTGGAATGCCTTCCTTTTCTTTCTCTTTTCGTGTCTCCGCCTGCATGCACTTGCTCCCCTCTCCCTTTTTTGAACTCCTCCCCTCCTCGCTTTTCTCTTTCAACTCTACGGTCACTGGTTCATCAGTAAGCTAGGATCTACAGTACCTCTGAGGGGAATAACATGCTGCTAAATTTTTCCGGCTGTAACGTATGTTTCAGTTCTTCAACCTCTTTTTTTTTTTTTTTTTTTTTTTTTTTTTTTATAGCTTGAATGATTTGTTTGCTGTGACATGTTGTGTGTTGGAAGTGTTTTTATTTACCTTAACTGGAAACATTGCCTCTTACATGAATCTGTGGTCAGTGAAACTTGCTATGGGACCTTAACTTTATTTAGATATAAAGCTGTTAAACTGCTAAGTTATTGCCATTACTATTAGCTCACTAAACTAACCCGACATAAAAAGTTACTGACAGCAGCGCTATTTGTTGTTCATAAGCTTTGTTAACATTTTTTTTGTCATCTGGGGGCAGAGACAAAAAGCCTTTAGTGACAGCAAGAGTTTTGTTTGTGTGTGTTTGTTGGACCGAAGCTGAACTGGAAAACAGCCTCTGGGCAGAGGCCGCATTGATCTGTCTAAAAGAGCTGCTCTGTTATGGTCTACATGGACTACAAAAATAAAAAACAAACACAGAAAGTAGACAAAATGTTAAATTGATGCATACACTTTCCTACTTTTATGTGAGGCAGCAGCCCAGTAAAGCTAGTCGAGAACAGCTAAATGTTGAGGATCTCAGATGAAGCAGGATGTTGCTCGAATTGCGAACCTGGACAGTAGTTTTTAAGTGAAAGGAGAGCATTACTCATTCATTCTCAATACACTTAGTTTCCTCACCCGTCCAGAGTTTTGAACAGGCAAAGTTTTGATCACACGCTTGCTGCATACACTCGTAAAAACATGGAAAGACAATGCTTTCTCTCTGTAACCTTTCTTTGGCCCTGTGTGTTTTCGACCGACAGGTGACGATGCAATGACGGGGGACACAGACAAATACCTGGCCCCCCAGGACCTGCGGGAGCTGGGCGACGACTCGCTCCCGCAGGAGGGTTACATGGGCTTCAGCGTTGGTGCGCGCTCACAGAGGTAAGACACACCCATTTGTTTTCTGTGACATGTTGTGTGTTGAAAGTGTTTTTATTTACCTTAACTGGAAACATTGTCCTTTACATGAATCTGTGGTCAGTGAAACTTGCTACGGGACCTTAACTTTATTTAAATATAAGTTATTGCCATTACTACAATATATTTTACAGTGTAATGTAAAATATATTGTTATGACATAACTTACATATGTCAAAAAATGAGATGCTTGTCATTTATCTCTCAGTATAAACTGCTCCACAAAAGAGGAATGCTTCCAACGCAGGACTCGATGGGACAAATATGTCATCTTTAACAAAGATGTGTAGATGACTTGTGCTGTGCCACTTTCTGGTCTGACTGGGTTTTAAAGGAAATTGCTAATGATACAAATCAGGAAATTGGCCGCAGCTCTACTTGTTCAAAAATATAGGAAACAAAGCAGTACATCGAAGTACATCGCTCTCTTCGACAGGAAGAAATGTATTGCTTTCACTTTATTGTAATTACAGTGTAGGTATCACAATTAATTTGATGGATACAATGAAGTTTAGACGTGCTGAAGATACTTTTTCAAAGCTCCAAAAAACACAATGATTTCTTGATAATGTCACTTTTGGCACTGTCGGCACATGAGCTAGTCTAACAGCACAAAAAGTCTTGTGAAAGCTCATGATCTAAAAAACAATCAGCAACTCACAGAGAGCTGTCAGGTGAGAAAGTGCAGGGTTTTTTGTGTTTAATATGAGGTTGTTTCCAGTTTAATATGGAAATGGAAATCGCTCTGTTGAAGTCTTTTTTTAAATTAATGCTCATATTATCTAAAAGAAGTATAATATGGCAGTTATGGCTTACATTATTCGGGCCGACCATCCACACACACACACAGATTTCCCCTCACCAGTGGGAGGTCATAGTTCACTTTCTGTGGCTGTTGAACTCGCATGAAAATATTGACACTTGTGCAAACCCGCTGGAGAGGGAGGAGTTATTGAATGTCTGAGCAGTGACACACATGGACACTGAGCCACAGGAAATTAGAAACATGTTCAATCCCATGGCCTTGAGCTCTGGGTTCCATTAACACACACTGTTTGACTGCGGTAGGATGTGTGTGTGTGTGTGTGTGTGTGTGTGTGTTGGAGATCAACCCTAGCTTAGAATTGGTTTAACAAATTACTGGTCCGCTGCAGGGATGGGTTCAAATTGCTTCCAGTTCAGTCAATTTAGGAAGTGAATTATCTACAAAATCACTATTAGTGAGTTGAAAGAAAGTTGTAGTTACGTCATGTACAATGTGTTGTTAGTTTTTTTGTTTACATTATTCTTCTTCTGAATGGAAGGAGCTGCTGGGTCCAGAAGTAGTTTGTTCCCATTTTAAAGTTTTATTGTAATGATATCCTCAATATTCCTCAACATAGAAATAGGGCTGTGTGATATGGCCGAAAATGATATCACGATAAAAAAATCATATCATTCGATATTTATAATTATCATGATAAATGTCAAATCATTACTTCTAAGTATAAAGGCTGATTTTTGCTCCTGAGTGAAAATTAAAGGAACCAGAAGGTTAATTGTGTGGTTAAACTTTTTTTTATGGTAAGAACATGACAAACACTTGATGCCAAACAGCGGATCACTTCACAAATCTGAGGTAGAACATTCAAAACAATTGTGATAAAATTCTTTTTCAAAAAATATACTTAGTAAATCTTTTTCAGTCCCTTTTCCTCAACAAAATAAATGTCTTAGAACAATTAAGTGATTCAAATGAATTAAATCAAATATTTATTGTTGATATATTGAACATTTGTTATATTGTTATTGAGGAAAATTATATTGTGATAATTATCATTATTGTTTTATTGCCCAGCCCCACATAGAAATACAGGTGTCTCCTGGACCTTTAAATTATACTATAAGTTTTACTTTAAGGTCATCAGATGTAATTATGTCATCTTAATACCTGAGAACTTTTACCTGCTTAGCACCAAACAGAAGACAGACAAAGTTAGAAACATGCTGGCAAACACAGTAGTGGAACATTTAGCAGGTAAAAGAGCCAGTCATGTAACTCTTACTGAGTCACATGAGTAACTCAAGACACTCAGTTAGAGTTACATGAGTGCCTAAAAGGAGAGTAAATATTGCACTTGAAACATGACTCCAAGTGAATGATAATGTTTTTCTATGTCTGCTGTATGTGTAAACACATTTGCTAATTTGATAATGTCAGTATGTTTACAGCTTTTTTCGCTGCAGCCAAAGAAAGAGATTTCTAATGCGTTGCTCATGTTTTATTCTGACAATTCAACAAAGAGTTTCATGTTCAGTTTTTACTATTCAGAATGAACACGAGTATCAACGCCAGGGGGAAACCAGAGAAGAAGACAAGACAGCTTAGGCTCCTCCTATAATTCATTGATTTACTATTGTACTTAACTTAATATATATACACTCACCTAAAGGATTATTAGGAACACCTGTTCAATTTCTCATTAATACAATTATCTAATCAACCAATCACATGGCAGTTGCTTCAATGCATTTAGGGGTGTGGTCCTGGTCAAGACAATCTCCTGAACTCCAAACTGAATGTCAGAATGGGAAAGAAAGGTGATTTACGCACAACCATTTCTAGGGTTTACAAAGAATGTTGTGAAAAGGGAAAAACATCCAGTATGCGGCAGTCCTGTGGGCGAAAATGCCTTGTTGATGCTAGAGGTCAGAGGAGAATGGGCCGACTGATTCAAGCTGACAGAAGAGCAACTTTGACTGAAATAACCACTCGTTACAACCGAGGTATGCGGCAAAGCATTTGTCAAGCCACAACACGCAAAACCTTGAGGCGGATGGGCAGCAGAAGACCCCACCGGGTACCACTTATCTCCACTACAAATAGGAAAAAGAGGCTACAATTTGCAAGAGCTCACCAAAATTGGACAGTTGAAGACTGGAAAAATGTTGCCTGGTCTGATGAGTCTCGATTTCTGTTGAGACATTCAGATGGTAGAGTCAGAATTTGGCGTAAACAGAATGAGAACATGGATCCATCATGCCTTGTTACCACTGTGCAGGCTGCTGGTGGTGGTGTAATGGTGTGGGGGATGTTTTCTTGGCACACTTTAGGCCCCTTAGTGCCAATTGGGCATCGTTTAAATGCCACGGCCTACCTGAGCATTGTTTCTGACCATGTCCATCCCTTTACGGCCACCATGTACCCATCCTCTGATGGCTACTTCCAGCAGGATAATGCACCATGTCACAAAGCTCGAATCATTTCAAATTGGTTTCTTGAACATGACAATGAGTTAACTGTACTTAAATGGCCCCCACAGTCACCAGATCTCAACCCAATAGAGCATCTTTGGGATGTGGTGGAACGGGAGCTTCGTGCCCTGGATGTGCATCCCACAAATCTCCATCAACTGCAAGATGCTATCCTATCAATATGGGCCAACATTTCTAAAGAATGCTTTCAGCACCTTGTTGAATCAATGCCACGTAGAATTAAGGCAGTTCTGAAGGCGAAAGGGGGTCAAACACAGCATTAGTATGGTGTTCCTAATAATCCTTTAGGTGAGTGTGTATATATATAAAGTTAAAAAAGCAAATACCGTAACCACAACTGTACACTAACAAACAATGTAATGTCTATTTAGAATATAAAGTAAAGTCCCCTTTCATACTACTTCTGTGGTTTATTTTTCAAATATGCATATAATAAGGGCTCTGTGGGCGTGACCGGCCGGCCGTCTGGCACCACTAACCTTGCAGGCGCTTGTGGAGCTTCTCAACCCCCGAAAACGTTTGAATATTGGCAGTTTTTTGAAAGTTGATGACGAATTGAAAATGAGCTCAAATTCTACGCAGTTGATTTCTCACCTCAAAACCTCTCAAAAGTGTATTTACTGATGAAATAGCATACAAAATTTGTAAAACCAAAAAAAGTTCTGCATCTTGCATGAGTGCTTCCTGCTTCACAGTCAAGCAGTCATGGCAGACAGCCCCTAGCATTCCATGTAGTGCATTGCAGGTAGAAATGAACAACCGGAAATGTTCTTAATAAGAATATTGCTGTCTCTCCCTTAAACTCTGTAACGACGTGTCGACAATGAAATTTCAGGTCAATGAATTTTTATAATCGACGTCGTTGATTAGATCAACTAATCGTTGCAGCCCTAGTTATAAGTAGGACATGTGCTCCAAGTTTCAGTCAGACAGTGAGCGGTGAGGGTGCTACGCAGGATGACCGGCGGGCGGGTAGTCAGTCAGCAGCATCTGACATTATTCTACCAACCTGCATCTCTGCTCTGGCTTTTCTCCTCTATGCATCTCTTTGTCCACTCCTCTGTTTGTTCATGATCTTTTATTCTCTCCTCATGTCCGTTCTTAATGTTAGTCCCAAAGTCAGGTAAGGCCGAAGGCATGAAGAGTCCTCCCCACACCTCCCCCACCAGCTCCCCAACCCACCCACTTTCACCCTTTCCCTCCCCTCACACGTCCAGACTCCAGTCATCAGTATCATGACTTTGTGGTCCAATGTAATATATATTTACTTTGTTTGTTTGATGACTAACGTAATGATTTTGTTTACCAGTTTTTGTATCAGTTTTGTAACACCGTTGTATGTTTTGGCACTGTGTTGTGGTTCACTTGTGTGATATTAATGTCCGATTTCTTACTTTCAGTTGAAAACAGTTCTGCTGTGTTCCTTGCTTGTAGAGAACAGCCTGTTGAGTTTGCTTTTGTGTTATTAATGCCTGGGTCTTTGTGGGTTAGCCACAAAGGTGAAGCTTTGCATCATTTTGGTTTCTGTGTGGAGTATTCCTTCATCGAGCTTCCAGGGACCTGAATTGATGTATCTGTAGGCAATAGCTATTGCCTTCATCAGTTTAGTGTCTTATAGATAAGAACAAATCATTGACAGTGCAGAGTATTCTCACTGTATGATGCCAAGCACTGTTATTCTTGAGAAAGATAAGTTCATTTCATGCAAAAATGTACATGTTTAAACATAGACATATGATACATACAATGGGATCGAATTTTACATTTGCCAACAACAGACTATCATTTCAAAGTACAATCAATTTTGTGCCGCTAACACATATAAGTACATCACTAACCTAAATTTGTAATCTAATATCTCACAAAGAGTTTTAGATTATGAGTATTACTTTTGAATATCATATGTATTGTATCTTTTCCATACATAGAAGCCAAGAGTGGCTATTTTTTTAATTATTTATTTTAGGATCATTTATAAGATTAAGATTTAAAATTCCTAAATTAAAAAGACAGTTATTTATCTTTTTGTCTTTAATAACTAACATGAATTTTCCATGCCACGTTAAAGTCAAATCACATTACAGAAAACAAAGTGATTTCATTATTGAACAGAGCAACATTACTAAATTCGAAGCACTGTCATTAGTTCATGAGGAGGTTTTAATTTATATCTATCTATCTATCTCTCTCTCTCTCTCTCTCTCTCTCAGAATTAGAGTTGTGTTTTCTTCCGTGTTGTGGTGAAGAGCAGTTCCTCTGAGCACAGGCTAATTGATTCGCTGCGGGTAACTTTTGTAGAGCAAATAGCAATGTTGTAATTGCGGTTTACATGTTGCAGGCAAACATTCATCATATGTCATTGCTCAGGAATGCTCTTTATTTTCCTCATAAAATTCTCTCTGAAAGCCTCGTCACAAACAACATCACAGCACACACTGACAAATACTGTATATCGGGACAGAAACACTTTCAAACAGTCTACAGTTTAATGTAATTGTATTGTCAAAAGATGGGTATGAGACAGAGTTACAGCAGCTAATAACCAGCTTCCTGTCCTAGCGCTGTGTCCATTATCCATCATACAGTAATCTGCTTAACTTTCATAAGCTACTCGGCTTCACTCAGGCTTGTAGGGCATTCAAATTGTGTGCTGGTATGGTGTGAATAGCCCAGCCGCTAAGACTGAAATGGGTAAAAAAAAAAAAGCCCACATTTTGTCTCAAAAACGTGGTTTTGATCTGTACATTCACCATCAAAAAGGTATTTTTGGTAAATCAGCCTGTGGTGACAACCGCATATGCATCTGGATTAGTTATTTGGTGCCTCAGACAAAATAGTAGCCTTTGAACACCAATCGTTTCTCTCTAGCTCTGGGTTTTGTCTTGGAAACACTTGAATTCCCTCTTCAATAGTGTCCTTTCTTGCCTGGTGGTTGTTGCTGTCACTGGTGGCATACAGTCAGGTTCCTGGAAGCTGCATGCATTTAATGTGTTTGTTTTTTCTGTTCACTTTCATACACCCTCAAACCCACCCCCCTCCCAACTCCTCCTCCTCACCTCCTCTCCATCCACCATTGTGAATGTTGTCTTGGTAATCCGTGACTTCTACGGCAACCACACCAAGCCTGCGTTCCTTCAGTTCTGATAGGTCCAACACACTGAACCGGAGCTCGTTCACACGGGACAGCATGATGATAGAGGAGATGCTGGCACCCAATAAGGAGATGGTAGGTACACTGACTGGACGTTTAGGTGTGTAAAGGTGCACGTGCTCAGTCTCTTTTTGTCTCTCTGTGTCTCTTGCTGCCGTCTCTATTTCTTCCTCAGTAATCCGCAGGTCATTAACTTCAGCGCTCTCTCCAAATGTGCCAAGCTGTCTTGGTGCTGTGCCAAAAGCCAGGCTATTCACCAATCCTCTTACACCTGAGTTGGTGTTGACATAAAGACAACCAGTCCCATTACATTTTACTGAAAGTGGCAATGAGATTAGTGGTTACTGCTGCTATCTACAGTAAGAGGGATTACTGTGATGCCCACTTACTTTAAAAATGCAGCAAAATGGCACTTAACGGAAAAGTGGGAATTCAGGTGAAACTTATTACACAATGTATCCCACGGGCCAAAAGATAACTCTTTTCGACCAGGTCTGCCATCACTAGACTTTTGTCTCCGTCAGAAAGGTTTTATTAAATGAAATAAAGATAATTTTAGTTAGATTAGAACATTGAACGGCTTTAGAAGCTCAAGACAAGATATACTTTGCTCTTCTATGCGTGATTATATGCTTTGTGAATGTAACAGCTGCTAAATAACAGCTCGTCTCCTCTCACGCTGCTCCAGATGCTCCGTAAGGAAAGGTCTTTCATTGTAGAGCAACACAATAAGGTAGATATTTAAGTCATTATGTAGTCCTTCTGTCAGTGCATGTGAAAATATGTCATTCAGACTTAATCATTTGTGAGTGATGTAATACAATATTTTTGCAATATTTTTCTGTTCAGATATGCCATAATCAGAGCATGTATATATTCATCATTCTCTATTCATGGTTATAAAGTGGACTGAGTCCTTTATCCATGTGTTGGCAATGAATAATCAGAGGTTATGGTACCACACTACCACTACATCTAAACTTCATTCCTTTCAATAAGTAGTGGGATTGATTTAGAGTGGGATTTAATTTCACAACATTGCATGTACAGTGTCAGTTTTGTAATTGTTTTTGTGAACTTACTTTACTTTGCAAGCTGCGTCTTTAAAATTAGTAACCTTTAAAGTAAGGAAGTTTTTTTTTAAACAGTTAAACAGGTTTGAACAGATGGGATGAAACACTGAATTGCATCTATTCACTGTGTATCTTTGTTACCATCCTTAAAGCAGTAATTTTTCACTTAAAAGTTATTCTGTTTATATTGACCTTCTTTATTTTTTCCTGATATACTGAATGTATAGCGGATGTTTTTAAATGCTGGCATCCTACTGAAACTTTCACAGAATTGCTTTTTCTCAGTGGCAGCTGCCAGTGTCTGCCATGAGTAGAAATGATTTTATGACTCAGCCATAAATCCTGAAAAAGGTGCCAGTTGTCATGCCCTCCTTCCCCAGAGGAGGTGTAACTTGAAACAGTTAATGGGGTTGAAATATAAATATAAAGTGACTGGGTTGTCATCTTGTTATATCATAGCTCACTGATGACCCTTAAAGAGAAACGCAACCCCTTAGTTAAAAGACACACAATCACCTTTAACAAGAGCAGATTTATGTGTCAGTATTTGTGGGTCCTCATTTTGGATGACAACATTCACGAAATTATAACTTTTTAATGTCAGATTTCAGAAATTTTTCTTGTTGGAGAAATGATTCTCTAGGACACTGATGTCATGAGTTTACACTTCTCAACACATTTCTTAATTGTTTCTCATTTTTTGGTTATTTAAACGCATGGCTTCATGAAGATTCTGTGTATTGTGATCAAATTTCCTGACTGTAGATTTTTTATTTAACACCAGTTCACATTGCATTATCATTTCTCTACTTTCTTCTTGTGCACATGTAAGACTGCTCTCATGCACTCACTCGGCAATGACCTTGTTGTCTCCTCCACAGCATTTGTCTGTGGCTAAGGACTTTGACAACGACTCTCTGAGGAGGTACAGCTGGACTGCAGACGCACTGGATAATGTCAACCTAGTGTCCTCACCAATACACTCCGGGTAAGTTCGTTTGAAAGGATGAATGGGTAGAAGACAGGAGGAAAGGGAGGGAAGAAGACAAGGATCAGGGAAAATGTCAACCCAGACCATTCTGGGAGGGGATAGAGGGAGAGATAGTGAACGTGCCTTTGTGAACACAGTGTTTTTGGCTTTTTAAGGAAAGAAGGAATTAGAGGTGTGAGGGAAGAAGGATACAAGACATGTGCTTGTCTTTGTTTCCACCAATTTGTTGCGTATTCTCTGTCTTCTCTTCCGATTCTCTCTGATTTTCTTTCCTCTCGAGTTAAAAGAGATTGGCTTTGCAACAGCAGATCTACCTGTGACTCATCTGACTGCGGAGATTAAGGAGCTGCAATTTAAAAGAAAAGTTTGACATTGTGGGAAATACGCTAATAAGTTAGCAGTTTCATGTCTGTCCAGTAAATAAATTGATGGAAAACATTAAAATACAGCCAGAAGCAGGGTTAGCATAGCTTAGCACCAAGACTTGAAAGATATGAGAGTGGCATCAATCTCCTCATGTATCTCTCCTGACAGAAAGCAAATAAGTATATTTCCCAAAATATCAAACTATTCCTCTAAAGGACTCATTGTTAATCGTTTTCTTGAAGTTCCAGTGACAAAGCTCTGTTGTTGACCTGTTACTCCTGCATTGCTTTGTCGTCCATCTTGCAGTTTTTCCTCTCCGCTCCCGCAGTACGACAGCAGGTGATTGACTGTGATTGGTTGCCTTTTTTATCACCACCACTATCTTGTTTGCGTTATTCCCGTTTCTGGTGACATCACACCCTCCCCCTCTCTCTGTTTACTCATAACACCTTTGTTTGCTCTCCTCACATATGAACTGTGTTACAGACCTTACGTGAAGTGGTTTGGATATTTGGCCTTGTGTTTTTTCCTTTTGTTTGTGAGTCTCTAACTGATCTGGATGAGTTTGTGTGTCAAAACCTGGCAGAATGTGACTTTGAAAAGATCGGACATGGCACATTAGGTACAGCTGGATCTGAATGTTTTTACAATTTCCACTAGCATCTACTCTTTGACAGTCACAGTTAAAATAGATTCAGGTCAAGCAGTCATTAATCAGTAGCCGGTTAAATATGGTCATGTTGAAGATTAATATATTAACTATTAATTTGTAGTAGTCTATTTTATAGTCTCTTTATATTTGCTTGAGACTCAGTCACACTTTCAAATGATTAATTTATGCAAAATTACATTCATATTCACATCATCTGTTAAGCTGCTACATAGACATCTTATTCATCAAATTGCATGGTGTGGATTTGTGTGTGTGTCTGTGAGAGAGCTATGTGGTTTCCTTAAGTCAAAATGAGTTATACACATAACTATAATACCTTCTAATATGGATTAAACACAGGTTACACTGGAAGCTCCTGTGTTGGCATCTTGGCTAATTCATCATCACAAAATAATAGAACATTTTATGTAATTTATTGCTCAACACGTTGTGTGTGGCAACAGTATTGGAGAATATTAATTTAAGAACATAGCAAAATTGTGACATCTACTCGTTCAAATAACGTAACCAACACTTTTTAATGCGCAGCCATAGCCAACACAGAAGACTCAATTTCTGTTCTTCTTTCTTTCTTAATCTTTCTTCTCTTTCCCTCACACTTACTTTGTGTGTTTTGAAGATCACAGCATGAGAAGAGACATCACCTCAACAAAACTCTTCTCTCTCCATCAGTACTGTTGTTATACTGATATATATTATACTATTCCATTCATTTTCTATATCCTTTCCTCTCCCTCTCTGGTTCTCCCCACGTGCTACTCTTTCTTTCACTTTGCTCACACTTTTTACTTCCCTGTCTTTGCACTCTGCTTCACTGTCTCTCTCTGTCTGCTATCACTCTTTGTCTCTTCCTCCTCTCCTCTATCTTCCGTTTCGCTCTCTATCAGGTTCCTGGTCAGCTTCATGGTGGACGCCAGAGGCGGCTCCATGAGAGGAAGTCGTCACAACGGCATGCGCATCATCATCCCGCCCAGAAAGTGTACAGCGCCCACCAGAATCACCTGTCGGCTGGTCAAGAGACACAAACTGGCATCTCCTCCTCCGATGGTGGAAGGAGAAGGCCTGGCAAGCCGACTCGTTGAGGTCGGACCAGCAGGTGCTCAGTTCCTTGGGTGAGACTTAATTTTCTTTGCTTTCTTTGTTTGCTTAATTGCTTATTTTTCTTCACCCTTTTTCGGTGACTTGACATCTCCTTCCTTCTGCGTCTTGCCATTGCCATTTCCAGCCACCTGCGTTTATATTTGAAAGTGTGAATGTGTGTATGTGCATGTTGAGGTGTAATACCTGCTGTTCATTTGCAGTTGAAGTGTAACTGTTGCTCACCCTCAAGAATAAAGTCCAGCTTTGTTTGCCTTTGGCAAAATAAAGGCAACATCACTAATGGGTATAAACGGTTAGATTGTGAAAAAAAGAAAGTGTTCATGTTTCAAGAAACGTGTCAGAACTCGCAGAAATGTTATATTTAACTGAATGACAAGGTTTTGATTGCCTTTTTAATTTATTCAACAACAAAACAAATTGCAAGATATTACAGTTACACTATAGTTTATAATAGGGCTTAAATCTGCAATTAGTTTTAATTGTAGATTTTTTCCCCCCAGATTAACTGATTAATCACATAGTCCAGTAATTACTAATCAGGGATACATACATGTATCCCAGGGGTTAGTTTTGCAGTTGCCAAGGGGGGTACATGGAAAACCAAAAGAAAAGGTGTACCATAGTAGAAAAATCCACAGATTGCAATTTTGCAGACCCCGAAAGTTGTGTCTTAAAATTGCTTGTTTTTTATATTCAACATAAAATTAGGGAGAAAAAACAGAAAACACCAAATGTCTGTATTTCTGCTAGATAAATTACTTATAGACTTAACACCAGAACGAAAAGCGGTGTTTTGCTGCCTGGGTTGAATGTTTCAAGCCTGTTATCAACAAGTCATCTGACCAAAACACTGCATGTACATACCAACCAGCAACTCTGGGAATGTCAGTGAGTAGTTACCATTACTGAGGAGTACTGGAAAGAAGAAAAATGAGTCTATTACTGATAGTTTTATTATTGATAAAACTAGAACTCAGTGGTGTGTGCTTTTACTGACTTTGCGAGTGTGTGTTTTGTGAATGTATGTGGGTGCGTGTGTGTGTTTCATTATCTTGCGGACACAGTAAACTACATCTTCCCAGAAAGCTGCCAGCCCTTAATGAAGGCGAGAGCCTGGTTAGTCCAGTGCTACAGCTGGGACCCAGAGGAACTAGATTTGTTGGGTAGGAACCAAACATAGCATCCCCTCCCTGCTCCTCTCCCTTCTGTGCCTCCCACCTCCCTCAAGGACATGAGTGAGGCTGATTCATGCTGATGGATTTTAATATTTTACCCATCTCTGTTGACTTTGATTTGTTAGGATACAGCATTACTATGTTATGGTTGCCACGTAGTTTTGGGAAGAAATCAATGACATAGTGATGATTCAGACAATCTTTCTGAATCTTTTGAAGGGAGAACAACAAGTTAGTTAGTTAGCTGGAAGATGGGTCCACCACAGCAAATTGGATTTATTTTAGCCTCAATAACAACCCGGGGAGAGGATCTAGTTTTTACATTTGAGATTGCACAATTCTTCCTAAAACTACACATTATAGCTTTGAATCCATTATGGTTACTTTTTAGCCACTTTCATTTAGAGACCATTGTATATTTTTTAAGAAGCTTTCAGTGGGCTTTTGATGTCCCTGAAAGTAAAGATTTTGATTGGCTGTTTGAACTGGACTGCGCTTGTTGGGCATGAGCCTTTTCCTCCTCAAGCCAAGCATCATCCTGCTTCCCATGACCGCTGTTACTTTATGTCACCTTCAAGATTAGTTTTGTGTCATCCCACAGTATTTTTGTGTAATTAATTTCCAGAGCCATTGGTAGAAAGACCTTGGCTGAGTTGTACTGCACATTTTTCATTAAGCCGGAGTAGTGTTGACCTCGAGGATTTCTTTCCAGAGTGAAAAAAGGTGTTTATACCATGAAATACATTTCAGTCCTGTGAAACTCTCAGCTCTACTTAGATGGGTTGTTTCATTATGCTTAATGATAACCAGTAAATACACTGTGCTTCAGTGCATATCAGACAACAATATTGATAAGGACTGTTTGTCACAAACGAATTCTCCTCTCTAAGTACTTAGTAGTTCAGGCTTGTCTTCATAAGATAGTGAATTATAGTGATAGTGATTTTAAATGTTTAAAGCACCTATAAAAATTTCTAACTTTTTCTCCACTATACTACTCTATAATCATGACTCCATTCAATCCAGTTAGACGACCAAAAACAGAAATTACTTTTGATTGAGCTTTTGATTTAAATATCACAGTCCATGATTTCTTGACATTGTAATCAGAAGAATTGCATCAGAAACACGAAATTGTTAAAGTTGAATTTCAGCCAGTAAACTTAACGTACCGAGCTAGCAAGAGATATGAGGTAGTGGCTCTGCCCTGTGTAAGAATATTGTCAGTCCTTTGACAGCAAGATTCTCTAAATGCCATTGAAACATGAAGGTTTAATGGGAATTTATGGATTTTTTTTTTTCTCAGAAAAGTGAAGTTTACTATTGAAGCAGCTGATTACAGCGCATAACAGAAAAGATCAATGTTTTTGGAATGTGCTATAAAAATACAATAAAGGAGATTATAAAAGATGTCTAGTCGTCTGTTAAAACAGGACTACATTTACTTACAAATTAAGTGTTACTTTTATTTTTATGCCATTTATTGAAAATATGTAATTGGTTCTACTGGTTCTCCAGGACAGATTTTTTAGAAAAAGCACTTAAAAATTTAAGTTTCTTACAAACATTATGGTGTTACACACACAGGTGTTCATGTAGGACCCTTTTTTTAGAGGATTTTCCAAAGGGATGATCAATGAATATAGTTCCTCTGATACCTCCAGAGTGGGTATTCTAGTCTCTTCTATTCTACTCTGAGCGACTCTGAAAAAAAAGGTCCTCAGCTGCTTGAGTGTTTTCATCCTTCTCCCTTGTGTTGCTATCATGCCTTGTTTGAATAAGGGCTGTGCAGCTTTCACCGCCCACTCCTTATTCCATTTCATGTGTCCTGTCAAGTCATGCCAAGCCATGACATGCACTCTGAATGTCTCATCGAACTGCAGCACGACCACCGCTATCATTATGAAGCAACACTGTCATCAGCAGAAGTTCACTCATACCTGTACAGTACGCTTTTTTCAGACCAGTGTCCTTAATGTTCCTTATTCATATTTCACTTTATTTGTACAATTAACCATCTGAATTAGTGTCAATCCCCTGCATATACCTAAAGAGAGACTTTTATGATATGCCCTCCACCATTTGTATTTCAGATTTATTTTTTCTTTGAGCTATTAGTTTATCCCCACAAATTACTATCATAATCAGAAAGAACTCAACCGTTTATTCCCTTACCCAGTCTAAGACAAAGACTGTCTAAGACAAATGGTAGAACTGTTTTCATTGAGTTTTCTTATTACTTATCATTAACTTGTCTTAAATGAAGAAAATATGATTAATTATACTATATTTGCATGAAATGTACCTTACTAGGCCTGTGATAGTGGAGATCCCTCATTTTGGCTCGATGCGGGGCCAGGAGAGAGAGCTGATCCTACTGCGCAGCGAGAACGGAGAGTCCTGGAAAGAGCATCTGTACGACTATAAGACTGACGACCTCAATCAGCTCCTCAGTGGGATGGATGAAGGTAAAGCACAAGTTTTTACTCGACCCAGGCAAGTTTAAACACTAAAAAACTTTCATATCCTGAGATTTAAGATATACATGCCAAGTTTTTAAAGTCCCTTTGTGTTGGAGTACATGCAATTACATTGCAGTTCAGTCCTGACTGATGCACCACCTGCATCACAACAGTGACTAAACAGATATGTAACTTTTGTAGCATCTACAACGTTTAGATGCATGTATTAATCTAAGCAAATGAACAGTTGGTGTCTGATGTTATTGTTACCCAAGTAAACCATTAATGTTGACAAATAAGTCATAATTAATAACAATAATTATTTCATAGACCACATACAACAAAAGTATTATGTTTGTTTTTTAAAGAATGCAGTTTACGCAATTATAAGACAAGTTAAGTTGGAAAAATTATAGCAAGTAAAATAAAGATAATTAAGATACATGAGACAGATTTTTTTGATCTGATTCAGGTCTGATGCTAGTAGTATTACAAACTGAGGTGTTTCTGTAGGTTTGGAAAATCAATGATTTATAATTTACATGTGATTTTCCTTCACTGTAGAACTGGACAGTCCGGAGGAGCTGGAGAGGAAGAGAATCTGCCGCATCATCACCAAGGACTTCCCACAGTACTTTGCTGTGGTGTCTCGAATCAGGCAGGAGACCAATCAGATGGGACCGGAGGGCGGGACTTGTGCAGCCGGAGCGTCCCATTGGTTCAAGCTTCCTTCCCTGAGGGGGCATTAACCAAGAAGATAAAAGTTGGACTGCAGGTGAGCTGATGAGAGTCATTTACCTGTCACACTCAGAAAGAATAGTGACCACAGTGGCAGAAGCTAACAGCGATGCTATAAACAACAGACACAAATGTACATGTATGACACAATAGGGCTGCAGCTAACGATTATTTTCATTGTCAATTACTTGTTTGATTGTTGTTGTTGTATAAAATGTCACAAAATGGTGAAAAATGTTGATCAGTGTTTCCCAACACCCAAGATGACGTCCTAAAATGTCTTGTTTTGCATTAGGGCTGAATGATATATGCAACAAAAGAAAAAATCATAATGCACAATCATTTATGTTTTATTACATAAATATATAAAGATATTGCACTTGGCTAAATTGTAATTTTGATAATATTTCAATTAATTGTTAGCCCTAGTCCATAACCAAAAGCTAATCAGTCAGAGAGGAGTGAAGAAACTACTTTCACAACTAATCAATTATCAGTTAATGGTTGCAGATCTAGTACGCAAACCTAAACTCAAATTAAACTTTCATTCACCAATTGCCTCTTCTGTCCCAGGCCCAGCCAGTACCTGACGAGACAGTGAAGAAAATCCTTGGAAACCGAGCAACTTTCAGCCCCATTGTTACTGTGGAGCCCAGAAGAAGGAAGTTCCACAAGCCAATCACTATGACAATCCCAGTCCCGCCCCTCTCAGGGGAGGGGCTTACCAACGGCTACAAGGGAGACTGTACTCCATGTCTTCGCCTTCTTTGTAGCATCACAGGTGTGTGTGTGTGTGTGTGTGTGGTAGTACTTAGTTTCTTATTCAAAATATTTCTCCATGGTCCCCGTACATTAAATGTAGAAAAATGTATGACATTAAAAGAAAATTTTCAGGATGTTTGATGTTTCCTATATGACCGTCTACCAGGTGGAACATCTCCTGCACAGTGGGAAGACATCACCGGCACAACTCCTCTCACCTTCGTCAATGACTGTGTCTCCTTCACCACCAATGTTTCTGCCAGGTGAAAAAAACTGCATACACTTAATTTTGGGAAGAAACAAGTGTTTGTGACTGAGTCTGTTGTTTTTATCTCTTTGTCTGCAATGTTCACTATTTATTTTGTCATTTGTGCAGGTTCTGGTTAGCAGACTGCCACCAGATCCCAGAGACGGTGGGCTTGGCCACACAGCTGTACAGGGAGCTGATCTGTGTGCCCTACATGGCCAAGTTTGTGGTTTTTGCCAAGATGAATGACCCAGTGGAGTCTAGACTGAGGTGCTTCTGTATGACAGACGACAAGGTGGACAAGACCCTGGAGCAGCAGGAGAACTTTGAGGAGGTGGCCAGGAGCAAAGACATAGAGGTACATAATTATTGGTTGGCTATTATAATTATTATTACAGCAGCACTTTATTTTTTATTCATTTTAAATATGAATAAACATTATTCAGAACCTGTTTTATTATTATTTTAGTGATTTTTGAAACACCTTTCATGCATTATTCCACAAAAGCTATTTTAATAAAGCTATATTATGTGGTTACATGTAAAGAGTAAGTTATTGTCCATTGATTGTAATAATTAAATTATTATGTCAACATTGATGCCAGTTTCACATACTTACTGTTGAGGGTTACAAGCAGGGTTCCAACTGCAAGTTGTGTCCTTATTCCAGCTGAGGGCTACTTCCAGACCTTCAATCAATCAATCAATCAAACTTTATTTCTAAAGCACCTTTAAAACAACCAGGTTGACCAAAGTGCTGTTCATTGACATGAAACAGTAAATAGACAAAATACAATAAACACCAGACAAATACAACATACAGCTCTCATGCCGGATTAAAAGCCAAGGAATAAATATGTGTTTTATGTCGCGATTTAAAAACTGGAAGGCTTGGGACCAGTCTGAAATGAAGAGGCAATTCATTCCACAGTCTCGAGGCTGCGACTGAGAAAGCTCGATCACATTTGCTCTTGAGCCGAGTTTTAGGGACAACAAGAAGAGACTGGTTCGCAGACCTTAATGACCTTGAAGGAGCATGTGGCTTCAACAGATCAGTGATACAGGCTGGAGCTAGTCCATGGAGGGCTTTAAAAACAAACAATAGCATCTTAAAATCAATCCTAAAATTAACAGGAAGCCAGTGAAGAGAGGCAAGAACAGGGGTGATTTGATCTCGCTTACGAATTCCAGTAAGGAGACGAGCGGCAGCATTTTGAACCAGTTGTTGTCGAGAGAGGGAGGCCTGGCTAACGCCTACATACAGAGCATTACAATAATCAAGGCGTGTTGTGATAAATGCATGTATGACCCTTTCTCTTACAGACCTTACCAATACTTTTGATAAAGGATAATTCTGTAACAAGCGTGATGCATGTTGTTCTTACCTATGTGACGTGCTCTCTCAGGTTCTGGAGGGCAGGCCCATCTATGTGGACTGCTACGGAAACTTGGCTCCTCTGACTAAAGCTGGTCAGCAGTTAATTCTTAACTTCTACGCCTTCAAGGAGAACCGTTTGCCCTTCTGTGTCAAGGTACTACATAGACTATCATTACCATTTCCTACACCTTCTTCTCAGGCTGGAATCTATAAATCAACATTGCCAAGAAAGTCATTGAAAGTTGCTAAAATTACATCAAGGTTGTCATAACCGAGTACAAAAGAGTACACGGCATGTTGCTGGAGAAAAGCAGCAGTCAGTACAATTTTGTTGCTGTTACAATACTGTGCTAAGCCATGATTGTTTGAGCTCTATTCCCCTTTGCTGCCCTACTTCACACACTAGATTTCAATACAATGAACCCAGTCCAATGGTATTATCTGTTTCCCCTTAGTAACGCTAAATAACCTGATGTCATTGATAGATTCATTAAGTTCATGTTCTCCAAAATCAATCCTCTTGCATCATTTGGTTATTGTGAAAACTATCCTTGAACCACTTAATTGCAACCTGCTACAGTAACAGCGCACAGTGTGTATAACGTTACGAACAAATTCAACAAATGCTCAGTTAGCAAAACATTTCTGTAGATAATGAAAATGTGAAAGCAAAATAAAAGAAATATAGTCTTAAGGGATATTTTGTATTGAATTAGGGGCAAGCCCTCATATGCCTTGTGGGGTGATCTTGTGGCCACACTACATGCTGCAAATTTAATCTTTCAGGAGTTAATTCTTTGATCACTGAGCCAGCAAATGTCCAAGCACTTTGTTATTAATATAACCTTCAATAATGTCAATACCTAGTGATTACCTACTGTGCTGTTCCATCCAATATCCAGTATCTGAAAATATTATGAAAATGTTTCAGAAATTACCGTGAACAAATACCAATGTAGAAAAAGTAATCCTCAAGTGTGCAGTGCTGGCATACATCACACTGAAGTACATCGGCAGTGACTACCATCTTATAAAGGAACAAGGCACATAAAGAAGCAATGTTCTCTGTCTAGGTGAGAGATCCCAGCCAGGACCCCTGCGGTCGTCTTACGTTCCTTAAAGAGTGTAAGACCATAAAAGGTCTCCCACAAACTGCCGTGTGCAACCTGAACATCACACTTCCGGCAGTGAAAAAGGTAAGATAGAGTGAACTCACCATTCTCTGTTGTCACCTCCATAACCATACTCATGGTTAGGGTAGTTTCGGCCCCACTAACACCGTTAGATGAAAGACAGAGAAAGACTTTGGCCCGACTGCCGCCACCGTGTCTTTTATCTGTTTAAAGCTTTTATCTGTTATATATATATTTCGGTTACCTTTGCAGTGGATTCTCGCCATTGGCTGTCTAATTTTGTTCCTACCTACCTTTTGATTTGAATGACATGCTTTTGGCTGAGGGCTTTTGTGCAAAAGGCTATTTTTGATTATTAGGCTGGCTTTTTGTGGCTTGAGTTCATTTGCTTGTTTGAGTGTTGCCGTTTTATACTTTTTTTTTTTTTTTTTTTTTTTTTTTTTTTTTCGCTTCTCTTCTGAGTTTGAGCTTCTGTCAATCACTCCTTTTTCACACCCTGATGTTTCTTTTCCTGCTTTCCATTATGTTACTCCCCCTGTTTCTTCAATGCATCTTGGGAACCAGGAAATGGAGTCAGATGCCGAGGATGAGGTAAACCACACCCTCCCCACCATGTGCTATCCTCTGCGCTAGATTTTTAGTGGCCCTGCTCTCTTCTTCATAGCCTTATTCTTTCCGCTTCTTCAAGGGCGATACGAGCTTTCCTTGTTTAAAGCAACCTTTAGCTGCTCAGTTTTGCATGATATATTGTAGACATGAAAAACGGTTTGTTTTATGTCCAATCCTTATCCCTTCCGCTCTACAGTATGTTATACAAGTGGCTTTGGAGTTAAGATGTACTTACATTGTCTTTTAATCAAGATTAAACCTTTAGTAACATTACCTTAAAACTGATTATTTGCACTTTTAGGCATTTATAATTTAGAGTTTGTAGCATTATTATGACCAAATTAGTTAATTTGACTAGCTTGGCATAGCACTTGTTGTAAGTAATGCTACCACTACTAACAAAAATAGAAGATTGAAGTGCAGTGATACTCTTAAAGGAGAATTTGCTGCTGTATTACACAACTGTTAAATATGGGCTTTGTTTTTATGTTAATAACAATTAATGCAGACTATTGAGTTTGCTTTAATTTGACATTATATGGTCCAAATGTTGCTCATTTGGCAGCACTATACAATGTAGGGTGACTAGAACTGATGTGTTGTTTGCTATTGTTGCAGACTGAAAAGCCAGAGCGACGTCATACCTTTGCATCTCTAGCCTTACGTAAGCGCTACAGCTATCTGGCCGAGCCTGCACTGAGTGAGTTTGACATTTTCACTAACAAACCCTTTGATGAATATAATAATGCCAATTTTCGTGGATAAGTTAGTTTATTAACAATTTTAATTAACCTGCAAAATGCGTGATCAATATGTAGATGTGACTTACTTAATGTAATAAATGAATATTTCTCATCCTACATAACATGCACTGTCCACATGCTTGTTTACAACATGGTACATATTTTTGCATGGGTCAGTGAGTGGTTTTTAAGTTTTTGTGCTGTGCTTGCCCACGTTGTGAGTTGTACTTCTTCTGGTTTGTTTGGTTGATTTCCACTGCTGAGTTTTAGAAGTCCAGCAACATCAAAAATTTTCTTTGACTTACCAACACAATGTTATAGGCATTTGGGAAGGAGGTCAAAGTAAAATTGTATTTGTCCTTTGTCCCCTCTGAATTTAAAGCTCTTTTTGGCTTTGTGATGAAGTAGAAGCTTTTTGTGGAACAAACATGCATGTGAGGAGGTCTTGAGTTTGGCTTTCTTTCAGGTGTTTCTGTCAATTTTTCACTCTCTGCTTGTCACCAGTTCTTATCAAGCTTGCATGACAAAATAGGCCAAAACCTAAGTCTTGGAAAAAACATTTTGTCTCATTTTCTTTGTTATATAATAAAAGGAGAATGGAAACTTCTGCAGCCCTTGGCTTAATTGTATCATAGTGTCAAAATTTTCTTTGGGTAATCTGTCATTATGTAATTTTTGGAACAAACAGATAAAAGGCACTTTCAAAAGCGGATTGAAATTAGAGATAGAATCCATATGTGATTTTAGAACATCTGAAGTCCAAAGAGAGAAGTTGTTTTTGTGTTAATCCTGGTGCATTTGTCTTGCCATCTTTCTATTGTCAGTTGTTAGTCTGCGCCATTGTCTTTGGAATTTTACTTTGCTGCTCTATGTGCTTTATTTATTTGTTCAGTATGATGTTGTTGCTGTTTTTCCTGAATCACAACTGTTTCTTTTCATAACTCCATCTTCAATCAATACTTAAATATCGTATCTCAGCACTTCATAAAACTGCTGTTTTTCCCTCCTTGATACCAGGACTGCGTCACTGACCAACTGTTCCTCCTCTGATCTCTTCTTCTTTCACATTTTTTCTTTCTTTTCCTTCCCTAATATCCCCATACCTTTTACTATTCCGCATTCTTTGGATTATTTTTTCATTCCTTCTTTACCATTATTTCTTCAAATTCATCTGAAGAAACAGCCGTTGAGCGAAGCACAACAGCAAGAACACTGCCTGCTGGTTACCCTCACAAACCTGTCTTTCCAACCAGACCTTACCCACCATGGTCGACTGCTCCTATTACCGTCCCTGGCCAAACAAGGCCCGTCGGAGTGGGGGGTGCCCTCGCCTCTACCGATTCACCGGCAGGCTCACCAGCTGCTTCTCCATTGAAAACTACCTGGCCCCTCTCCTCCCCATCACATGCATGCACTGCAACTACCAAAGCCACCCTGGGAGCTCCACCACCAGTACCTACTGTGTCATCCCCAGTTAAATCCGTTAGCGACATAGTGTCCTCATCCCCCATCAGGTCTTACAGGACTATGCCTTCACCCATTAAAACCGTTGTCCAGCTGGGTCAATACCCTATCCAGGGGTCTGCCAACTTTGTGCCCTCTGGAAGCCCATGTAAACCTGCTACAGATCCAGCATCTATCAAAAGCCTCGCTTCAGCATACACATCAAGGACTTCGCCACTTCACTCAATACCCAATGGCTCTGTACCAGAGTGGTCATCAGCTTCTATTACTACACCTTACAACATGTACAGTTCTAATCTGCCTTTTAAAACTGCCATTGGGTCCACGGTTGCGACAGAGGCCGGTGCACCTAACCTTTCTCCTGTTAAAAGCATCTCCAACCTGTCCTCTTTGAAAACTCCTGTAGATTCAACACTCTCATCCAGAGGAGGGAGGTCAACCCTCTCGTCTCTCTCCTCAACTGGGCAGACAACCATTGCGTCCTCAGAACTGTCCATGATGAACGGATCGGTCTCGCCTGTTAAATATCCATCCTCCTCCTCCACACCATCCTCACCTTCTTCTCGCCATCTTTCAGAGAGAAGTAACAGCCTTCAGGAGAGGATCCATGCCACGACCCAGGCAGCAACCTCCAGTGTCAGTGCTGCCATAAATGAAGCTATAGACTCATGTTCTGTGTCAGGCTATGGCACTCTTAAATCACTGTCCTCCATGCGTAGGTCTGCAGCAGCAAGCTCTGCTTACGGTTCTCTGAGATCTGTACCTGCCTCCTCCAGCCCTGCTGTTTCATCTAATTCGGTGACTGTACCTGTATATTCATTAATCAATGTCATCCCAGAGGCCCCTGTCAAACCAGGGCCAGGGTCTCTCAAAATGGCACTGCCTGATTCTCCTCGTGCCTCATCCCTGTCTTCTTCCTCTTTGTCTTCTTGTGTTACTGCATCAAAAATAAAGTCCCAACTAAAATCTCCTCCATTTATCACACCGCCCATTATCCACCCAACTGCAACTTCCAACCAGGAGATACTAAAAGATGTAGCAGACATGAAAGAGGACCTGATCAGAATGACAGCTATCTTACAGACAGACACACAGACAGCTGCTAAAACTGTCCAAACATCACATACGGGCACTCCTAAAGAGACAAAGTTAGAGGAAGAGGAGCCATTTACTCTAGTGGAGAAAGTGAAAGAAGATTTAGTGAAAGTCAGTGAGATATTGCAGAAAGATGTCATGAGTGAAGGTAAGGCCAGTGCTGTTAAAGAGAGGGCCTCAGAGGATGATTGGGAGGAATTTTCCAAAGATGAGATTGAGGAGGCACAAAGAAGTGTCCTTTCAGATTCTTGCCCTTATTATGATGAAAACACACTCCTGCTCAAGCACCAGTCCATGTCAAGCAAAGACTTAGAGTTAGCTAAAGTAGTCGATTTTTTAACAAATGACATTGGTGCTAGCTCCCTTTCCAAAATGGCAGAGCTGAAATATAGGTACGAGGAGGAGGCAAAAAGGGAAGGAGAAGAGAAACAGAAACGTGTTCTCAAACCATCTATGTCGATACAAGAGCACAAACTCAAAATGCCTCCACCAGTCTCAGGTATGCTCAGGTCTCCCTCAGAGAAGGACCTAAGCAAACTTGCTGAATCATATCAGGGGGCGGACACCATTTTGGAATCACCCGAGGACCTGTCTCATGAGCAGGATAAGAGTCCCCTGTCAGACAGCGGGTTTGAGACCAGGAGTGAAAAGACGCCTTCTGCTCCTCAGAGTGCAGAGAGTACAGGACCAAAGCCTTTATTCACAGATTCACCCATCCCTCCCTGTGTGACTGATACCCGGACCGAAGAGGTCCACTTTAGGAGCTATGATGATTCTTGTGAGCCTGTATTCATGGAGGAGGCTACAGTTGCTCCTCCTTCTATGGAGCCAGATGCAGCTTCAACAAGCTCTACCAAAACCTTACAGATGAAAATGCCAGAAGAGGACTCCATGATGAATAAAAGTATGTGTCTTAAAGAGGAAACTCATATTACTACTACTACTAGAATGGTCTATCGTAAGCCCCAATTGACTGATGGCACAGAGATGATCGAGGAAGCTATGTCAGTTAGCGATATCATGAAAGCTTTCCAGTCAGGTAGGGATCCATCTAAAGAACTGGCAGGCCTTTTTGAACATAAAGCTAGCCAGGATTCTGTCAAAGGTGATGAGCTGACTCCTAGATTTCTTGACAGAGACATCAAATCCAAACCCAAAGTTGAAAGGATAATCGAGGTTCATATTGAAAAGGGCCACAGCACAGCAGAGCCGACTGAGGTTATTATCAGGGAAACAAAGAAACACCCTGAGCTTTATGTCTACAAAGGAGACCATGGAATTAAGGAACTTACTGATTATGATGAGGCCCAGCAGGAAGAAGAGGAGCTTACTGCCGAAGAATCCCTGCCCTCCTTCTTAGAAACATCTCGCGTTAACACCCCAGTGTCTCAGGAGGAGGACAGTCGTCCAAGTTCTGCCCAGCTGATAGCAGATGATTCGTATAAAGCCCTGAAACTATTGAGCCAGCACTCAATAGAATACTGTGATGATGAGCTATCAGAAATTAGAGGTGAGTCATATAGGTTTGCTGAGAAAATGCTCCTCTCAGAGAAACTTGACGCGTCATCATCTCACTCTGACACGGAGGATTCAGCAATGGTGACTGACAAAAACCGCCACATAGTTTCTGAGGAGAGTGGTAGCCGTGGCACTGAGAGCATGAGTCAGCAGCATGGAAGCCCCAAAAGAGAGTTTGTTTCTAAGTCATCAAAAGATGGGTCCCCAAAATCTGGTAAATTCTTGCACAGGGATGAACCATCTCAGTTTGATAAGGTGACAGTGCTCCATTACTCCACAGAACAGGGCAGTCCCAAACATGCTGTTTGGATGCGATTTACAGAGGATAAACATGACAGGAGCAGGGATAAGCTCCTTTATGAGGATAGGGTGGACCAAACTGTAAAGGAAGCTGAAGAAAAACTGAGTGAGGTTTCACAGTTCTTCCGTGACAAAACAGAAAAGCTCAATGATGAGCTGCAGTCCCCTGAGAAAAAGCCTGTGAGACGTGACCCAAAGGAACCCAGGTCCTGGCCTAGCTCAGCCTGCAGTAGCCCTGAGAAAACACAGCCAAAACCTAAAGCAGGAGAAGAGGCCTTAGGTAAAAGCAAACTCAGGGAGCCTTCTGTTGGTAAAATATTTGGAAGCACCACTGCAACTGAAAAGAAAAGCTCTAGCTTACCAAGCAGTCCCCAGAAAACCACGCTCCCTCATATCAGTGAGGATAAAATTAAACAACAAACTAAAACCAGTGAGTCTGAACCCTCTTCACCCGCTCATGTAAAATCAACATCCAAAGTCAGTGCTGTGAGGATGAAGTTTGAATCTGAGGCTCAGAAGCAGAGTCAGACTAGTCCAACCAAAATTCCTCCTCCAGTGCAGCCAAAACCTTCAATAAAGA